CCATAAACTATCGGGTGGGGTTGGAGGGGCCCTCCATGAATAACAGACACCCCTCTTAGGAAACTCCAAGGATGCAGAGGTGACCTTTCAGGACCCAGGGGCCGAGGCCAGACCATTCTTGATTATAAACAGGATTTACAGAGGCGGTGCTGAGTGGCGTCTCCCAAGCACCCCCCAGCCAGCGCCCCAGCCAGCAGAACCTGGGGCGCATCTCACTCCTGGAAGGAAGCAGTGGCGGGGTGGGGCGGGGAACACAGCCACCAGGTGCCAGCAGCAGCGCCCAGCTGGGAAAGGTCCTGACTCAACACGGCCTCCCAACAGTGCACTGGAGGAGGAGGAGGAGGAAGAGGAGCAGGAGGAGGAGGAGGAGGGAGGGAGGGAGGGTTGCGTGCAAGGCGGGGGTTTAAGACAGGCTCTGGTAATTCTTGACAAACAGGTAAGATCCCACCAGGCACCTCCCTCCACCTTAACTGTAAACACATCGGTTAGTTTTGTTCTCACAATCCCCAAAGCACTAATTATTGTGAGCACCGTTTCCTGAAGGAAGAAAGAAACTCAGGTGCAGGTTGAGGGCCGGCCCTGGGTGGGCCCCAGGACAGGCTGAGTCCAGGTGGGTCAGGCTCCAGAGCTGGGCCCTCGTGGGCTGGGGGGCCGAGCCTGGCGTAGTCCCCCCAGCTCCCCACACGGCCTCCGCACTGCCCCTGCGCCTCCTGCCGGCCTGGCCTGCTCCTGCCTCTGCCCTGGGGTTGCCGCCTCAGCCCTCCGGTGCTTTGCCCACTCCTCGCCTGGGGCATCTCTTGTTAGGCTCCTAATCTTCTTGGCTCCAAGGCCTTTGGAGAACAGGCAGAACCTTGGGATCTGGTAGTTGCACCCCCTCCCCCACCACAACCTCTCTCCAACCTGGAGGGATCTGCGCCCTGGTGCAGCCTCAGCAGCACCAGCTGGACCCCACACCCTGGATGCCCCTGAAGCCCGCGGTGCCCGTTTCCTCCCTCCACTGTCAGGCTCTCCTTCAGGCCTGGCTTTAACCCTCTGGCCTTGCACCCGCCCCCCCCCGAATCCACTATCAGGAGGGGGAGTGGAGGCCATATCCAAAGCCAGGACCTGACCGGCTCCCCATGCTGCCGAGACTCCGCTGCCATGTCGCCCCTGCTCCCAGCAAGGGGCACCGGTGGGTCCCTCGCGCTGGAGGAGGAGGAGGAGGAAGGGCCAGCTCCTTCCCATCTGCCCCCTGGTGCCCTGAGCATCGCCCTGGCCATGGGACACGGGGTTTCAGGTTCCAGTGCCCCCACACTCGCGGAGGCAGCCTCCCGGTGCCTCGGTGCCCCGCAGAGAGGCCCGCACGAGCAGGGCCCTGCCCTCCCCAGATACCTGAGTCCCAGCTCCAAGGGGCTCCTCCAGGCTTCGGGGATCCCGTGACCCAACCTCTCCTCTTGTTCCCCAGCCAGAGGGGTGGGGAGGTAGCTTCCTGCCATTTCTCCCTCTGCCCCCCAGTGGCCGCTCCCTGTCACTTCTGTCCTGCACTGCTCAGCTCACCAATTCTCAGTACGAAGCTGCTGAGATAATGAATGTGGTTTGTTTTCCTCATTGTCCCAACTAATAAATACATATGAACCGTTCCCATCTCACGTGCCAGACCCTGTTCTAACTGCTTGGCAGGTATTAGTTCGCTCGGCCGTCACAAACCCCTCTGGCTGGCAGTTACCATTATCCCCAGCGCACGGGGGAGAAAAGGGAGGCGAAGGAAGGAGACACAGTGTTTGCTCAAGGTCACCGAGTTGGCTCCTGACACAACACTCAGATCTCAGCAGCCTGCGGCCTCTGGGGACAGCCGTGAATCAGTAAGTGACCACACAGTGTTTCCGTGCACGGATGGGCTGTAGCCGCTGTTGGACACCTGGATTGCTTGAGGGTTTTAGCTGTCACAGAGCCTGGATCCCCTTGAACCTGACAAAGTGGCCACCCTTGAGCCGGGAACCTTGTGAGTTTCTGAATTATTTGGTCCGTGACTTGTTACAATCTGTCTCCTTAGTGTTCGCCTCATCCCTCTGAGCCCCTCCTGCCCCCTCCTTGCTCTTCTCTCCTGGTCCTTCTCTTGATTCCATCTCGCAAGTGCTGCTAGAGATCTGGTGATGGGGGCTGAGAAATGGTGCTTCTGCAGAAGCTCTAGAAGGCTCTACCTGGCTTCTGGTTGAACCAAAGCCTTCAACGACACGTGAGTATTTGTGATACCCTGAAATACCTCTCCCAAGACCCACTGAAACCCCACGGCGGGTGAGGTTCTGTTCTGCGCAGGCCTGTGCAACGCGATTCCATTTCGGATTTTCCAGCGGCCAGCACAGCAGCTGCTGTCTACCACTGTCCTTGCAGAAGTTGGGAAGGGTCACTCCCAGCATGCTTGGCTCTGTCTGCCCAGTATTTTGCTCTTGCCCCAGCATGGTTTCTGGTGTCCTATAGAGAGAATCAACTTAGAGATCCAAGTTGGTCTTATTTTTAGAAATAAAGACATTCCATCCCAGCTTGCCTAGGCCTGTTCAGAGAAGGGAAGCGGAAAGGCCTGATAGTTCTCCAAAGTTCAAGTTGGAGCAGTGCAAAGTGGAGGCAAAACTCCTGACTCACTGCCTGAAATGCTCTTCTTTGTTGCAAAGACTGACCTTGTCTTCCAAGCAGCGTGGCTCTCGAGGACAGGGCCGAGCGGTCCTGTACACAGGCCCCTTTGTCTCGCCCTGTCCTCCCTTGGACAAGGCCTCGTGCCAGCCCTGAGTCTGTGCCACCCCTTGTCTCCTTTAACACAGTGCAGATCGGATTTCCGCGATTCACGTTGACCCTGCAGCCCTGTTAACAACAGGATCATTTTTTTAAACCTTGAAAACGGAAATTGGATTGAATATGGAAAAATGTCACCTTGGGCTGGGCAGGGCTGTTTTTGTCCTTGTAGGAAATGTCCCATAGGTCTGGAGTCTCGAGGGTCAGCCTGGTCTATAGAGAAACGTTACCAAAAAACCCCCAAAAAACCCACTGGATCTGGTCAAATGAAGCCTCCCTTCAAACTTCAAAAAGGACGTTCTTTAGAAAATGAGCGGAGGCTTCTTTCTCCTACTTCAGACCCTGTACTAGGCAGGGTGCCCCAGAGAGACAGAGCCAACACGATGTGGACGCGTGGCAAATGTTGGAAAACTAAGAGGGGAAAAAACCTCCGCCATCACAGACAAGTAGATTAAAATTAATGAAGATGATAGACGGTTTCATTAGACAAACTGGATCTGACCAACATGTACAGACCATGCGCCACAAACCTGCAGGACACACACACTCTTCTCAGGTGCCCAGTGGGCACTGACCACCACCGGACACAGGCCAGGCCACCAGGTGCTTCTCAGTCCATTTCCGGGGATCAAAGTCACCCAGAGCATGTTGTCTCACCAAGTGGAATTAAATTAGAAATTAATCATAGAACACTAGAAACGTCCCAACGTTTAGAAATCAAGCCACACACTTCTAAAAAGTCACACACACAAAGAAGAAATCATAGTGGAAATTACAAAGATTCCTAGCTGCAAAAGAAAAAAAGAAAAAAGAAAAAAAAGCTGTCATTTTTGGCAAGTGGCAAACAGTTCAGAAAGGCCACGCACCTGGAGAGCGGCCTACGGCAGGAAGGCAGGAGATGAGGATGGAGGCTTCGGCCAGATCAGGCTAAGAGTGGGGCTTGGAGGTGGCGGAAAACTCTGGAGGCTTTTAACCAGGGCGTCTGGGGGGTGGGACGTGGAGGGTGGGTGGGCTAGAGCTATTGGAGGGGAGGGGGGATGGAAAGAGAATGTAGTGAGACCAGTTGGGAGGCCATTGGCCCATAGGGCCCTGGTCAGGTAGCTCAGTTGGTTAAGAGAATCATCCCAATACACCAAGGTGGCCGGGTCAATCCCTGGTCACATGCATATAAGAAACAACCAATGAAGGCATAAATAAGTGGAAAAACAAATAGGTACATGGATAAATGTAGCAAGGAAGGGGAAGAAGAGTAAAGGATGACCCTGGGATTGACTGACTGGGAACCTCATGGTTATGCTCACTTACAGGGGGCAGAGAGGAGGAAGTGCCACTTAAGGACAATTTAGAAAATGAAGAATTCCCCCCCATTCCTGGGACAGCTGGTAACTAGTGACTCAAATGGTTCCCTGCTCTTCACTTTCTTCTTGGGCCTTACTGAACAAGTTATTGATTTGGGTGTCTCTGGAATGCATAACACTGCCCTAAGCACTGAAATACAGAGCTCTAATAAGCGATCTCGCCCCTAAGAGGGATTTCATCCTAGTTGGGAAGACAGGTGTTCACAAAGGTGAATACAAATACAAACTACTACACATGGTGTGGTCCAGCGGGTGCCGTGGGTGGCAGGGATCGGCTTACAGTGATTGAAGTGATCTAGAAAAACTTCGCAGAGCAGGTGATTTGCGAGAGGGTTTTTGAGGAACCAAGCATGTGGAAGGGGAGGAAGGAAGATATTAAAATCAAAGCAAATAGCGTCAGGAGCGCCTTTGACTCTTTCAGGAAACCTTGCCTCACACGCAAATGTAAGGTTGGATTGCGGAGAACAGTTTTCGGGCTCAGCAGTACACCACCTTCGGGGAATTTCTGTATTGCGGGCAACCAGCGGGAAATAACCCCGCCCTCCAGTTGTAAAGCCTTCCCAGCTGAACGCATGCGCCTAGCGCCGTGTTATCATCGAGGCGTAGAGCTAGAGCGTCATCTTTCCCAGAGGCCGCCATTTAGGGTCCTGGCATAAACATTTGGAAAAGGCTGGGACCGCTACCAAGTCAGGCTACACAGCCCAAGAACGTGAAACTGAAGAGCTCCTATTGGACGACAAAAATCAAGCGGCGGAGCGAATTCGCGATGCTTCTCTAGGAAGAACATGCTTTTAGAGTTGTCCCCCCGTGCCCTCATCTGAGATGGCGTCTCTGCAGGCGCTCTAGCTGGCGCCTCTCAGATTCCCCGGATCGCCTGAGGGGGCGGGGGCCCAGCCACAGGCGCCCTGGAGACTGCAGCGCGGGTCGCAGTGAACGCTGGTTGCGCCTGAGCTCGCTGTGGCTTTAGGTACCAGGAGGGTGAGGGTCTGGGAGCGCTCCTCTTCTGTGCCGGGCCCCCTGGCCTCGCGGCCGCCTCAGTCGGAACCACTCCCGGCTGCAGCCCCTCGCGGGCCGGCGGTAACCACGCCTCGGGCCGGACGATGCCCAAGAAGCTGTTGCTACTGTCCCCGCTCTCCGTGTCCTCTGCCTTCCGCGCCCCGCGAGCCAGCCCCGCCGCACGTCAGGCCATGAACGCCGCCCGCACCGGCTACCGAGTCTTCTCGGCCAACTCCACGGCCGCCTGCACCGAGCTGGCCAAGCGCATCACCGAGTAAGAGTGGGGGCGGGGGCCGGGGACGCCCCGAGGGATCCCGGCCCGGAGGCCGTCTGTGCTCCTCTTCCCCTCCACGCCCTCCCGCAGGCCGAGGGATGATTTGGCCCCTCGCCTTTCAGCTCGGCGAGGGGTTCGCAGAATCCTGTCATTTCGGGGCTGAACAAGCCTTTAGAGATGAAAGGAAGGCGTCCCGCTTTGCCTCTCGCCCCACCCGCCAATTCTGCAGGCTTTCAGTAACTAACACGCCCGCCCCCACCCCCATCGGGGTTGCTGGGACCCCTCGCCCTCCTCCGTCATGCACTCCCGCTGCGCCGTGCGGTGGGGGACCCTGTGGCCCCAGCAGGAAGCGCCTCGGAGAGGGCTCTGGGCAGGCTCCCTTTCCCACGGCCAGAGTTGACCCAGGAATCTGGCCCTCGCCATTCCCAGGCCTCGCTCCTGAGACGGGGGTCGGGATGCAGCTACAACGCGGGGGCAGTAGGCCGGCGGCGGCGGCCACGGTGTGGCGAGCGCCCTGAGAACGCGTCAGCTGCAGGCCAGCAGGGCTGTCGGAGCTGGTGCTGGGGACGGTGGGTCTCGCTTGGTTTCCAGGTCAGCTGGAGGCGGATCGGCCGTTTGAAGGCAGGCCTTTGCCTTTCCCTGTCTGCCTGTCCCCAGGACGCCCGCGGTCTCCAGCGGCCTCCAGGCAGCTCTGAGACGTCTCCCGGGCTCGCCCCTTACGAGCCAGGCGAGATCGTTGTGCCGCTGAGCGAGGGACGTGGTTGTTCCGAACCGCATTTGTAAAACAGGGATGATTGTGTCTACGAGGCAAGAATACTGGGAGCACGGACGAAAGGATGCCCACCGAGCATCTCGCAGGGCCGGCGCCCCTGGGCCGCTGCTCTGCGGGCCCCTCGGGGAGGAGGGTCCCAGAGCCCTCGGGACCAACCTGCTACTGGCGGGAGGCCTGGTAGAAATAAAATAACTTGTCTTCTCGCACTTAGAGTCAATTTCCCATTTTAAGTAATTTTACGTTAGCCTCCCTCTGAATTTTCCCAAGTTGATGAGTAAAGGCGTGGTTATAATTTAAATCCTAGATGGGAATGAAAAAGAAAGGGAAACTTGAGTCATGTTTTATCAGTAATGCTTATTTTCTTTTCCGTTAGAATTTTACTCGCGAACAGTGTAAAAAAACAATCCTTTTGCAATCTCCTGCCTAGTTGCTATTTCTAACCCCAGCCTTTTTTCTATCTTGAGGCCAACGACAACACCAGCTTTAACTACAAAGCTTGCGTTTGTTTGTTTTGGGCCACGTTTCCCACACACTGACCTTCCAGAGATAAAACAGAAAGAAAGACACAAGGAAAAGGCCATTGGTTTTGCTTCTTGGTCCCGAAAGTTTTTAACTTACTGTGAATAATAAATACTTGCAGGTATTTCTCTTATCTGTTGCATATGTTGAATTTCTCAGTAAGATTTTATTTGAAAGAAGGGTTTTCCCACTGAGCAGAGTTTGAAGATCGGTAGATGAGATTGACTCCTGAGGTTATGACATTTCCATGATTCCTTTTAGATCTAAATGCCTTTTCATGATGCACTTTTATTGTATGTTATAATTGAATTTATTGGGGTGACACTTGTTAATAAAATTATGTAGGTGTACAGGTTTGTAATACATCAACTGTCTATCGTACTGTGTGTTCTCACCCCCCACGATGATGCACTTAATAAAAAAGTCAGGTGCATGACATTCCCAGCATATGTGTAAATTACACATGCATTGTCATGAGTGCCCCCCCATCTTTCATCCACCTCACTTTGTTCATCTTGTTTCATCCACTCCACCTATCCCTCACCTGTTGTGCCTGGAGTACTTAATGGTAAAATACATAACAGAATTTTCCATTTCAAAGGGTACAGTTCAGTGGCATTAAATACATCCAGTGTTGTGCAACCATCAGCACCATCCATCTCCAGAGCTCGTCACCGTCCCAAAACCGACCTCTGTTCCCACGAAACACCGACTTCCCCGCCCCCGCCCCCCAGCCCCTGGCCAGCTGCTGTGTGCGCCTGTGAGCTCGCCTGCTCTAGATCCCACCTGTAAACAGAGTTATGCAGCGTTTGCTTTTTTGTGTCTGACTCGTCTTATAAGACTTTCTTCAAGGTTTCTCCGTGTCGTAGCACGTAACAATTTCAGTCCTTTTTAAGGCTGAATAATATTCCATTGTGTACTTGGCTGGAGTATTTTTAAGCAGAGTCCACCTTACATTATGTTATTCACTCATAAAATGGTAATGCTAACCGATAAGAACTGAAACAACAACAAAAAAGTGTAGCACTATTAATTCCTGAATGTCATGTAGCATCAGCCCTTATTCATGTTTTCCTGATTGTCTCCAAAAGGGCTTTTTACACTTGATTTGTTCTAATTGGGATCCAAACAAGATTCATGTTGGTTTTGGTTAATGGCACTGAAGTCTCTATGCTTTTGATAATCGAAGTATTTACTTATGGCTTATGGTTTTGGAACTATTGCTAGTAACCAAGTACTTGTTTGGGAATGATTTTCCGAGACATTTATTCATAAAACAGTGAACTAGACATTAAACTTTGGTTGTGGGTTCCTTCCAGTAAAGCATTCTGTTACAAAATGGTGAGCACGTGAAGCTGCTGTGGACTGACAATGGATTTTTAGTTCTTAATCAATTAAACTTTGTAAATTGTGTTTTGGGAAGGAATTCCAGTCCAGTTATTTTAGTCTTTTTGTTAAATTTATGCATATGAACTGGAGTTTTTTTAATAAAAAGCACTCTTAATTACCTTTTATTTCCCTCCCATAGGCGTCTTGGTGCAGAATTGGGGAAGTCTGTAGTATATCAAGAGACCAATGGAGGTAAGGTTAAATTTATTTCTTAAATATCCTTTGCTCTCTAAACTATGCTTAGTTGGCTGGCGTGTATTTATAAGGCAAATATTACTCATGTTTAGCACAGAAACATTTTTCTCTTTAACGTTAGAGGTATAAACCATCATTCTATAGGTTCCTTTAAATCTTTGTTCTCCTTAAAGTCTCCTTTCATCATTTTGGAATGTAAAAAGGAGAACTGTAGAGAACGTTTTTCTTTGTTGGGCTGTGTTGGGAAATGCTCCTTGCTTTTTTTCTCTCTCTCTTCAGGCCATCAAATGGCATCAAGAGCGATGTGGTATGAGGTAGGGGTGGCTTATTAAAAAAACTCCCTTTCTGTTCTTTTCACCTCTAAACTTTTCTCTCGAGTCTCTTGTAGACTCTCGCCTGGGCCGGCGACCTGTCTTTGCTGCCCTCTGGGTTTCCTTGGGCAGCTCCAAAGTGAAATGACCCTGCTCGAAGGCGCCGTGTGATGGCCGGTGTCCTGGGGAACGCTGCAGTATAAATCGCCGGGGGCCGCCTGCCCGGGTTGCAGGGCCCTAGTCGTGGCAACAACGAGTTAGTGTTCAGTGATTTGGAATCCTTTTTCAAAGTTGGAGGCCTGAATTCACGATTCAGTGCTTCCTTTTCTCTTTCTGAGGTATAATTATCTATGGTATAAGTAGCTTGAGGAGATAATACTAAGACATAATGATGTTTGAGGATCTAAAGCAAAGTATTCTGTTATTTTGCACAAGATGGCAGCATAGGCAGACATGGCTTGCCTCTTTGCACAACCACATCAAAATTGCTACTAAAATATAGAACAATCATCGCTCAGAACCATCAGAAATCGAATTGAGTGGGGGCCTGACAACTACAGAATTAAAGAAACCACATCCATCTTGACTGGTAGGAGGGGCATAGATGCGGAACGGCCTGGTCCCATACCCATGTGTGGTGGATAAAAATTCGGGAGGATATCTTGGGAGCGAGGAGTCCCAGCCCCACACAAGGCCTCCCAGTCCAGAAGTCCAGGGCCGGAAAGGTAAGTCCCCACAACTTCTGGCTGCAAAAACCAGTGGGGATTGAGTTGGTGTAAGAAGTTGCTGGAGCCCCAAGCAGTTCCTCTTGAACCCACACACGGAGTCACCTACATCGACTTAACTCCCTCTGAGCTCCAGCGCCGGGGTAGCAGCTTGAAAGGCACCAGTGATATATAGGAAGAAACGGAAGTATCTGGCATCAAGGTGCATAAAGGCCATTGTCCCTTTTCTAAACCCTCCCCCTACAGAGCCAGCAAGCTGGTGCCACATCTGAGACTCCATCAACCTGGCTAACACTGACCCGCCTTGGAGATCTCCAGAGAGTCCGTGTAGCCCAACTTATAGGCCCTCCCAAGCTGCGTTTCCAGATGAATGGCTGGTCTTGACTCAGGCTTCACTACTTTCTTAAATCCTACTAAACAAGCAACAGCTGGCCTCAGGGAGCTCCAGGCCCAGCATTAGCAGCAGCCGTCTTAGATTGACAGCTTGGCTTCACTTGGGAATCTCCGAGTCCAAAACAAGTAGCAGCCATCTCAGATCGCTTTATAGCTCAGGCAGGGTGCCCCGGATAAAACACAGGAGGGGGCTGACTTTGGCCTGCACCTCCTGGGAAACCCCAGGGCCAGCACACACAGTGGACAGCTACAGGCCGCATTGGAGCACCACCACCCTGCCCCTGCACAGCTGATGCTCCATGGAGGGCAGAGGTTGGTGGTCAGTGGTCACAGCCAGTCCTTGCAGCTGACTGGCCTGGGTAAATCCCTCCCATTGATCTGCCATCAGCAGCTAAGGCTCAACTGCAAGAGGAGGGTATACTTAGCCCACATGAAGGGTGCACCTCAAGTACGCAGCCTGGGTGATAGGGGAGGCTGTCCCAGTGGACCCTATAGGACACCTACTATGTTAAGACACGCTAGAAGACATGGGGAGTCAAAGCAGCTCTGCCTAACACATAGAAACAAACACAGGGAGGCTGCCAAAATGAGGGGACAAAGATACATGGCCCAAAGGAAAGAACAGGTCAAAACTCCAGAAAATGAGCTAAACGAAATGGAGATAAGCAATCTATCAGAAGCAGAATTCAAAACACTGGTTATAAGGATGCTCAAGGAGCTTAGCGAGGACCTCAGCAGCATAAAAAAGATCCAGTCAGAAACGAAGGATACACTAAATAAAGAACATTTTATAGGGAAGCAACAGTAGAGTGGATGAAGCCGAGAAATCAGTGATTTGGAACCTAAGCAAAAAACAGCCAATCAGAACAAGAAGAAAAAAAATCCAAAAAAATGAGGGAAGTATAAGCAGCCTATGGGGCAACCTCAGGAGGTCCAACATTCACATCATTGGAGTGCCGGAAAGAGTAGATCAAGAGCAAGAAATTGGAAATCTATTTGAAAAAATAGTGAAAGAGAATTTCTGTAATGTGTTGAAGGAAATAGACATGCAAGTCCAGGAAGCACAGAGAGTCCCAAAGAAGATGGATGCAAAGAGGCCCACTGCAAGACACATCATAATTAAAATGCCAAAGTTTAAAGATAAAGAGTATCTTAAAAGCAGCAAGCGAAACGTAGTTACCTACAGGGGAGCTTCAATAAGACTTTCAGCTGGTTTCTCAGAAACTTTGCAGGCTAGAAGGGATTGGCAGGATGTATTCAAAGTCATGAAAAATGGACCTTCAGATGAGATTGCTCTACCCAGCTAAGCTATCACTTAGAATTGAAGGGAAGATAAAGAGCTTCCCAGACAGGAAAAAACTAAAGGAGTTCATCACCACCAAACCATTATTATATGAAATGTAAAGGGACTTAAGAAAAAGAAGACGATCAAAACTATGAACAATAAAATGGCAAAAAGTACATGTCTATCAACAATTGAATCTAAAAAACAAACTAAGTGTACAAGAAGAACAAAGAATCATGGATACTAAGAACGTCTTGATGGTTGCCAAATGGAAGAGGGGTGAAGAGGTAAGGAAATTAAGACCTACAAATAGGTCGTTACAGACTAGCCCGGGGGATGTAAGGTACAGCATAGGAAGTGGAGTAGCCAAAGAACTTAAACGCATGACCCATGGACATGAACAGTAGTGAGGGGATTGCCTGAGGGAGTGAAGGGTGCTGGGTGGAGGGGTGCAAAGGGGGAGAAATCAGGACAATTGTAATAGCATAATCAAAATATAATTTTTTTAAAAAAGCAAAGTATTCTAAAAGGCAATGGTAGTGTAATGGGAATATCCCAGGATCTATATAAATTACACGTGTATTATAATTAACCCCCAGGTGACCTCTGTCTGGCTTCTACACTTAGTGACTTTTTACTTGGTGGCTTTAGAGCAGGTTAGGGTGTGTTTGTATTTAAAGCCCTGAAGGGGAAGGCGCACAGGTGCGTTCATCTACTTGGCAGTAGCCGTTTTAATTCCCGGTGATGGCCAGGGGGCACCTCCTGACGCTCAGCACTCGAGGAACAAAAGGAGCTCAGTGAAGGCCTTGCGCTCCCCGCTGCCATCACCGTCGAGGCCGCCGCTCGTCGGGCGCTGTTGATGTGGCTCGCAGACAGGCCTTCGACCTCCGTCTCCAGCCGCTAGTCCGTTCTCACCTCCACTAGACGTGTCCAAAGTGCAAAGAGTTTTCACGTGCTGCAGCTTCCCCTCCTGCGGGCTCGGGTCCAGCCTCCTCTGCAGCCCCGGGGCCCCTGGGACCTGGGACCTGGGTCCTGCCCGCCTCACTTGTCTTCCGCCAGGCCCATCAGCACATCTGCTCCGACTCCAGAGTCCTCTCAAGTCCAGCCACTTGTCACGGCCTTCACTGCGCTTTCTGGGCCATTCTACTGTTTGTCGCTTGTCTGGATTCCTTCAGCAACAACTGGAATGTCCCTCTGCTGTCCTGCCACATTTTTCTTCACACAGCCGTCGGCGATCACCCCCTGCCATCCTTGAATCCTGCGCCGGCTTTCCCGTCACACTTAGAATGTAGCCCAGAACCCTGTGTGGTCAGGCCCCAGCTGGCTCCCTGACCTCCTCTCTGTCCCTCCTCGTCCACTCTGCTTTCTGCGTGGGCAGCCGACCACCTCTCCGCTTGGCCCACTGTCCCCACACTTTTGCCTGTTCTCATACTCCCTTCCTTGCTGCTCTTCCCATAGCCCTGAGGCCGTTGCTCCCAGCCCTCTGTTCTTTCTCCCTCATGGGGCTGGTCTTTCTCTGGCCTGCAGCCCCGCAGAGCTTGCCAGCCTTCGGCACTGCCGCGTCTTCTGGGTCAGCCCTCACCCCCGTGCAGCTCTCCACGTGGGGACCCCGGCTCTGGCCGGCGCAGAGCAGGCCTCAGCGTCTGTTGACAAGGACATTAACCTTCAGCCTCTCTATTTGCTGTAGACTACCCTCCTGAGTATCTTGTCTTCTGTTTTTTGATCCTGAGGTTTTGTGCAGACCTGTTTGTTACTTTTGCCTTCTTGTCTGTTTTTGGCTTATTTTCCCCTTTGCTTGACTTTTTATTTTAATAGGTGAACATGTCCTTCTGAGATCTCTAAGAGGGTTTTTGGTACACTAAGTGAAGTGCTGTCTGGTTTAGATTCATCTTTACTCCTTCCAGATGCTGCCTGATTTTTTAAATATTTATTTATTTTTAGATTGGGGGGAAGGGAGGAAGAAAAAGAAGGAGAGAAACATTGATGTGAGGGAGAAACATTGATTGGCTGCCTCTTATAGGTACCCCTACTGACCAGGGACTGAACCCACAACCCAGGAATGTGCCCTGACTGGAAATCGAACTGGCGACCTTTAGCTTTGTGGGATGATGCCCAACCAACTGCACCTCCCCGGTCACGGCAGATGCCGGATTATTGCATCATGAAGTGCTTTTCTTAAAGCTACAGGACATTTTTATTTTTCAGAAACAAGAGTTGAAATAAAAGAATCTGTTCGTGGCCAAGATATTTTCATTATACAGACAATACCCAGGTAAGAGTCAGCACTACTTTGGTATAATTCATTATCGTTTCATGTGAACAACAATTCTGTTTTGTAGAATTATAAATGTGTTTGCATGTTAAATGGTTTTTCCTGAGTTCTGTGAACCACTCCAGCAAGTTCATAACCCTCGGAGCGGGTGATGGGACCCTCTGGTTCATAGCGGGTCCTCCACAATCACAGGTGACAGCCTGGCCTTGGCGTTTGTCCTCTGAAGTGGGGATGGGGGGCGTCTGGAGGGAGAGAGCCCTTAGTCCGTGGGAGCCACTGCTGTTCTCCAAGGAGATGTGTCAGGATGGAGTTGAATTTTAGGACACCCAGCTGGTGTCCGGGGATTCTGAGAATTACTCGATGTGGGAAAAACCCCGCAGACATTTGGTGACAGAAGTACTCAATGTTCTGAATGTACAGCCTCCTGTGAGAAAACTGTCTGTAGGAGACTGAGGACCAACGGGTCACAGAGCGAGTTGTTTGGTCCCAAGAGTAATGGAATTCCCCTGCGGGGTAGCTGATAGATACTAAGTGCTTTGTTTCTAGTACTTTTTCTGATTATAAAAGCAATATGCATCACTGAAAACACAAGCATTATAGAAATGTGTATCAGAAAATAAAAATTTCCAGCCCTCACCCACTTCCCAGTATTCCGAGATAACTACTTTAAACAGTTGTTTGTTTCCCTGTATTTTCTATGTGTGTACAAACTTAGGCTCAAAACCAAAGTACAAGTAATTGTAGCTTATCTGGACGGTTCAAGCTTCAGGAGCGCACAAAGACGTGCCTGTGCCCTCTGCCCAGCCTCCCATCCCCCGCCCCGGGCCACAGTTGTTCTCGATTTCTTAGACGTTCTTTTAGAAGCAGTGCATAGTCAAGCATTTGCTTATATATTTTTCTTAATTTTTATATAAAAATCTAACATACTATGTGCTGAGCTTTTAAAAATAAAATGGTATCCTGTATTAGCACATAAAGGGCTGCCTCATCTTTTAAAAATTCCTATTTTGAAACAATCACAAACTTTCAAAAAACTCGCAGGCATGGTGTAGCCATTTGTGCATCGTCGCCAGCCTGACAACGCCGCGCCCCCAAATGCTTCGGTGCCGTGCGCAACCCCCCCAGGCAAGGACGGTTGCAGCAGCCCCGCCTGGCGGTCAGAGTGGGGGCGCTGCGCTTCTCTAACCCTCCGACCCCGCTCACGGGTGTGTTCGGTTTTTAAGATTTTATTTATTTTTCGAGAGGAAAGGAGGGAGAAGGAGAGGGAGAGATACATCAACTCACTGCCTCTTGTGTGTGCTCCAGCTGGGGGCCTGGCCTGCAACCCAGGCCTGTGCCCTGACCGGGAACCGAACTGGTAGCCCTTCGCTTTGCCGGGTGACGCCCAACCAGCGGAGCCACAGTGGCTGGCAGACCCCCTGCACGTCTGTCCGCTGTCCCCGTGCGCTGTTCACAGCACCAGGAGCCAGGAGCGTGTAGTGGTCGTGCCTGTTGAGTCTTCCTCAGGCTTCGCCTGACTCTCAGAACTTTGATACTTTAGCCAGTTGGTTGAATATTACTCAGTTCAGGCTTGTCAGATATTTTCTTATCTTAACGTAAAAATAAGAAGGCCAAAGCGAGAGGCAGCAAGCATTTAGTCGCGTTCCCAGAGCATAGCCGTTTGGGAAGCCCTGACGCAGGCAGGAGCCCGGCAGAGCTCTGCCCAGCGGGTGCGGGCAGGGCGTTCGGCGGGGGGCACGCTTACATGAGGGGAAGGGAGGCGTTTTCTGTGGGTGTCAGTAAGTCAAGGAAAAAATTTCGAGAGGTGTAAATAAGCTAAGTTATTTTTCAGCTTGGTGTGATGGCGCTAATTCTGACAAATATTCTTAATTTCAGCCTGAAGCCAGGGTGTCTGCCTTCCTGGTGGCGCTGCAGACTGTGGTCTGGGGCCTGTGCTGCCTTGGCCGGTCCGAGGCGGTTTGCCCGTTCAGATACCCCGAAGCGGGGGCAGTGAGGGGTTCAAGGCGGCTCCGCCGGGGTGGCAGCCCCGACTCCAGTTTGGAGTGGCCCAGTTTCCATTGTTTCTCACAATGATGCTGGGATTCATTTGTGCGTTTTCGGAAGGCACACCACAGGGGAGGAGCTGTGTTCTCCTCTGGTCGTATTGCTGCTTCGTAGTGTGTCACAGGGACGTACCAAAACTTACTCAGCAGGCACACACCCGATCGTTGCTGGCCTTGAGCTAACACGGTAGTGCCGCAGCGGAGCACCCTGGGTGTCTGTCACATTGTGCGGGTCTCGGGCAGCTCTGTGGGAAGATCCTGAGAAACGGAATGGCTGGGTGTGAGGACCCTTGCGCTTGTGGTATTGATAGGGGTGGCTGCATCGATAGACATGTGTAATATTGGTAGCACTGGGAGGTACTTCTGTACTGCCCCTCATCGAGGATGGACTGATGGACACTTCCTTCAGCAGGTCTGGTTTTCTGTTGTTCGCCTCCCAGTGGTTTTGTTTCACACTGCGTCTTGGAAGCGAGGGGACACCTGAGGGGCCTGCCTAGGAGTCAGCGCGCACAGCGCTTTGGCGCTCCAGGACCGCTCGCTGGCCTCCTGTGCTGCCCTGGGTTTTGTGGGTAGTGTTGTTAAGGTTGCAATGTCATCACTTCGCCCCCCAGACTCTGGAGGTCCTTAAGGCACGGGGAAGAGCCACGTTTGACTCGAGGTCCTTGGCTTGGCCACCTCAGACTACAGAAAGCCCTTGACCAGATCACTGAGGAGCAGGGGAGAGCAGGACAGGGGCACCGCCGCCGCGGACAGGCCAGCCCTGTCCCTGCTCCTCTGGGGCGTCGGGCCGAAGGCCACAGCGGCGGGGTTCGGACAGCTTCCTCCCACTGCCTGCCCTGTGGGTTTATGCGGCAGAAGACTGTCATGAAGAGCATTGCTTATCTTTAAGAAATCTTAACATCGCTTCACAGGTCTGCATCTTGATTTGGAATCGGAGCTCTGACTTTGAACTCCCCCCTAGGAAGAAGGTGACTTGTTCCTGATCGTTGTCCCTGGGACGCAAGCAGCCGTGCTGTTGGCAGCCTTGTTCTGCTCCGTGTATTTGGGGATTGTCCTTGAGCTGGGAGAGGCCCCGGGGTTGTGACCCCCTCACAGTTCTGTTGGGTGGCATCAGTGACCGGGGGCTGGAGGAGCCGCCTTCCCTGCGGTCAGCGAGATGCTGACAAGCTTTTCATTTTCAGGATGAGCTGGAATAGCTGAGGCTTTCATGCCTGGGGTAAAGTGTAATCTTTTTTGATAAATTTTTTGATCATAGGATTGACTTAGTAAGACCGAAAATTTTTATAGCGCATTTTCCTGAGGCTATTGAGTATCCTTTCTCCTTTGCTTTTATTACAGGTTTAGGGAGTGGGGAAGAGATGCACTAGTAGTGAGAGCCCGCTTTGCAGTGGCTGGTTTGTGCCAGGTGCTGCTCTGCAGGCTTCAGGTGGGTGTCCCACCTGGTCCTCGTTGCCGCCTTCTGAGGCGGGTGCTATTTTCATCCCCTTTGTGGTCTCTAAGTGCACATTTCTACATTCGGGGGCCCCGAGTGCACGGGTTCACACGTGTGGGGTGGAGCGCGCAGCCCGACTGGCTTCCGTTTCTGGTACGGCGCCTCTCCCTCCCTCTGCATGAGAGTGCAGGCTCCATGAGGGTGCAGACTTCTCTGTTCAGTGCTGGGTGTCCAGCACCCAGAACACTTTCGTTTGATGAACAAATGGACTCGGACCTTCTCTGTGAGCGCATATATAGTCCCCCAAGTCCTTGTGGAGTGAGTTAATGAATACTGCACAATTTTTGTACATTTTCCTCTTCATAAAATAATCGGGACCCCCGCCTCAGTGAGTCCCTGATACCTGATGTGACTTTCTTTCCCACTGCATCTCATCTGAAATGGAAAGGACCTTTGGAATTTCTGTATATGCTTTGAGATTCCTGGCTTTAGTTCCAACTTGGTTTAATATGTCAGAAACAGTCAAAGTTTGCAGTTTACTGGCATGGCAAGGCAGCATCCACGGTTCACAGGACCGTCCTCTTGGGATCTCAGAATGCTGTGTCGCTGGTCTCCTTGGCAGGAGGCATTGCCCTTGATCCGGTCCTTGGTTTCTCTCTGGGACCCGAGCACGCCCGGCGTGAATATGTGATGCACACAGCGCGAGTGACGCGGGGCGTGCTGGCTTCCAGGGGAAGGACAGAGTAGCGCACGGGGAAAACAGGTCAGTCAGCAACTCACTGGCAAAGGTGCACGCTTCGTTCTCTGGTGCTTAGGGTGTTAGAAAGCCTGGCCAGGGGATGAGGCGGGAGCAGCCTGTGGGGCTGCAGCGGAGAGCGTGGCTCAGGTGGAATGAGCGTGTCGGCAGCTCTACTGAGCGCGGTGTCGCACCACAGGCGTCCTCGTTCTGCGGTTATTCAGAAGCCATGATTGTCTCCCCAGAGGTCCCTGGTCGGCAGCCTGTGTGTGTGACATGCGATCGCGTCATCTCCAACTCCTGGCGACCCTGTGAGTGAGTGACGGCCCGCGGTCCTGTCCTCACCGGCCCGGCGCCTGGAGACTCCCGCCCGCGGCTTCTTGTGCGGCCTCACCTCAGAGCGGGCCTCCGTCTTTTCCTGCTGCCTTCCGTTCTTCCCAGCACGGTTTTCTTCGTCAGAGAACCCCGCCTCCGCACAGCATGTCCGAAACAGAACAACTTGCGTGCCCTCACTTTTCCCTCCAGTGGTGCTTCAGGCGGAAGCTGCGCTGGGCGCACTTCTTGTCTCCCTGGTGGTCCGGGAGGTCCGCACTGTTCTCCTTCAACACCACGTTTCATATGAATCAGTTTTTGCCCTGGCAGCCTTCTTCACGGTCCAGCTGTCACACCTGTACATAGGGACTGGCAGTACGAGGGCAGGGATGGTCTAGCCTTGGTCTCTAATGGCACACCTTGGCTGTTGGGGACCTCTCCTAATTCGTCGCTGCTGCCCCTCCAGGTCTCAGCCTGCTCTTGACTGCTTGGCCGCGGTCTCCATTTGCATTGGTGACTGAGTCAAGGTCAGCAGGACCTCCAGCAATTTCAGTCTGAGTTTGGTAGTTCACTTCGCAGGTATCAAGGCAAAAATACCCTCACCTGGTAATTCCTGTATCTCTTAGGATGATGGGGATGGGAGAGGGAAAGTTTGGAGGAAGGACAAGAGTGTGTGTGTCGTATGGATGTGTGTGTATGTGTATCTGTGTCCCATATAAAAGATTGTGGGTTGCCACAATGTCCTGGGAGCTTTATTGCTTGACCACAGATACTTTGGCACTAACTACAGAACACGGAAGGCTAGCTTTACAGCTCTGTGTAGTTAGAGAGCTATGACTAGTTGCACAGATCAGGGAACGTAGCGCACAGATGTCTGTGGGGAAGACGGGGATGCTACCCGAAAGCAGTAAGGCCGACTTCAGACAGACAGCCCAAAGCTCAGACGGGCACGTGCGCTCAGCTGCCTTCAGAGCCAACGTCCTGAGGCACAGTGTACAGTCAGTGCCATGGAAGGAGGGGTATGTTCTGAGAAACGCGTCATTAGGCGATTCCGCTGTGCAAACGTGACCAGGCGTGCGTGCACACTCCCGGATGGCACGGCCCGCCACTGTGGTCATACGCGCTGCACTTCTATACGCCTGGCTGCGAGGAGGTTTGTTCACACCAGCGTCGCCACAAACGCGTGAGCACCGTGTTGCACTGGAGTGTTAGGATGGCTGCAGAGTCACCAGGGGATAGGGCCCTTTGGGCCCCATTCCAGCCCTGTGGGACCTCTGTCGTATTCTGCGGTCCCTCAGTGACAGAAGCCCTTGCACAGCACACGACTGCACAGCTTTCTCCGGTGCGGCGGCTGCTCTGACAGCTTTGGGAAGTGTCTTCTGGAGCCACTTTCAGAACTTGCAGCGTATTCCTTTCGACCTCTCCAGCAGCAGTAAAGTTTTGGTTGTTGAAGATGGATTTTTGGAAAGAGCAGACAGCCGTGCCGAATGGGATTACGTCGAGTAATGGAAATGTTTGTCTGTTTCTGCGCCCACCCCCCGTGTGTGCGGGCGCTTCTCCCGCACCAGGCAGTTGTCCGACTGTGCTCAGCTCAGCTGGGATGCTGCCTGCCCGTGGCAGCCGCGGATTCCGCAGTTGAGGCCCAGTCCTACGAGACCACCCTCCCCGACCTCAGACATCGATCGTAGGTCCAGGTGGTCACCTTGCCTCTGTCCCTCCAGCCCGGCGACCGACTGACCGGAGGTTCCAGTGATGCCTCTTCGGGTTCAATTAGTGTGTTAGAACGTTTCACAGCTACAACTCGGTAATAGCCCAACAGAAGAGACATGCAGGGTTGGGTGTGTGGCAGATGGGGCGGAGCTGCCGTGTCCTCTGAGGGCGCCACTCACCCGCCTCTTCCTGTGGTCGCTGGCCCCAGGCTCTCCCCACTCCCCCCTTTTTCGGTTTTCCTGGAGGCGCCATCTCTGAGGCACAGTGGATGAAATTGGCCACTGGCAATTTTTGAGTTAACTTTCAGCCCCTTCCCTCTCCCTGGAGGCTTGGTGGGCGGGGCTGAAAGTTCCAAACCTCTCATTACACTTGTTTTGTCTTCCTGGCAGCCAGCCCACTTCTGCAGGTGCTGTCCTAAGTCGCCTCATTAACATACAAAAACCTCTTTTCTGTTCTCATCACTCAGGAAATTCCAGTAGTTTTAGGATCCCTGTGCCAGAAAGAGGGAGGAGGGCCAAATACATATATTTTGTTATAAATCATAACGTCACGGTGTGGTATTAAGTAAAGGTTTTAAATGAAGTAGATAGGAAGCTGACAAAGTGTTTTTTTGAAAGACGATTTTCATGTTGATGTTACATGTGGATGTAAGAACACTTACCACCGACTTGCTACAGGCGATTCCTTGTTGGAGGCGGGCAGGGTCGCCCTGCCCCACGCGTGGGCCTCCGTGCCGGCCGTGGGGTTGGTCTGGTCGCCGTCCTGGGCGGTAATTGATGTATATAAACCACGTCTATTTCCTCATCGCACATGCCTTTTTGCTCATCAAAAAGGGCCGAGTTTAAGATAGGATGTGATTCTCTTGGAGAAAAGGAACAAGTTTAATTGATAAGCAATTGAGAGTGTTGCTACTACTTAGACACAAAGACGGCAAGAATTAGCAGAGACGTATTGGGGACAGTCGGAGGGAGCAGAGAAGCGGGGCTGCCAGCCAGCTTTTCCTTCCCCTGCGCCTACCGCGTGATGGCCTGGTGTCCAGCTTGTCCAGCGTCCCTCGGTGAGTGGGGAAAGCCAGTGTGACGGAGGCCCTTTTGTGGCCTTCCTGACCAGTAAGGAGTGGGGCATGGAGGCTTTCCATAGCCTCGGGCTGGAGAGCACTGACCCCTTGGCACAGGTCTTAAGAAGAGGAAAAAGTGGAAACTAAAAACCTCAGGTGAGGGACTAGTGGTTATGGACGGAAAGCTCCTCTGAAGTCAAGGCCCCTCCAGACCAGCCCTTTTCGTTGCCTTAGGAGCCCACTAGGTGGGCCTGCCGCGTGGTGTGCCCCAGGCCTCCTGGCGCCGCGGCGGCTGTGTACGGGGAGCGCTCTCGCAGGGCCGCGTCAGGCCCACAGCCGGGACAGGCCGTCTTCCAGAGTCGGTCACCGGAGCCTCGGCTCCGGACGTGCTGTTGGCACGGGGACCTGGTACGAAGCCAGGCCCAGCGGAGCTTTTCCAGGGCTGCACAGCCTCGCACAAGTGGGGGCTAAGAACGCTCTGCTCGCATTTCTAACGTCGACAAGCCACCTGTATGGAAGGGGACTTTCACTATAGTATAAACGGCGCCTGGTGTTTAGTCAGATACGACTCCTGGGTTACGTACATGCCGCCCTGCACACGCCGCGCGGCTCCCGCTTCACTCTCAGCGCCCACAGGGCACCAGTTTCGTGGCCCTGATGTAGGAGGGGAAGGGAGTAAGTAAACACGTGTCTGGCGAGGGAGCGATCTCATTACATGAGTTAGCTGTACTCCTGGGGACAGATGGTTACCACCCAAGTGAGCCGGCGTGGTCTCTGGTGTCCCCCGGATGTGGCCAGCCTTGCTGACCCCTCCATCTCCCCTCATACAGTGCTGACCCAGGTTGCTCAGTAAGTATTTGTTGAATGACGAGTGAACTAAATTTGACCAAGTATTATGATTTCCTAAGTACTTTGAAAGTCCCTATTATACCAAAAGGTTGTATGTCCTCTGACCTTTTATGCCTGACTTGGGAGGACTGTGGACAATAAAAGGGCGCTACACTAAGTCGTAAGTTCCTGACTGAGCAGGTCAGGCGAGCAGGCCCGGCCCGGTCAGTTCTTTAGCGAGAGGTTTGAAGCCCACCCCCTCCTTTGTTCCTGCACTTCAAGGTGAACACTTTTGAAATGCTGGCAAGTAAAACCCAGTGGGTCCTGTAACCCAGCCCCTCCCTGCGTTCCTTCTGCCTCCCTGGACTCTTCCTTACTTCCCCTCGGTTTCAAATGCATAAAAGCTGCTGCAAAAGTATTATCCTTCAGCACATTTGAGATTTCTCTTCCGTCAGTTGTCATTGGTTTGGCTCAAATAAACTTACAAAAATTCTCTACAGGTTTGGACGTTTCTTACATTGACAGTGTGAGGGAGAAAAATGCTCCTGCTTATTTCAGAGGAAGGAATGTAACTGGAAAGGGCCCTCTTGGTCTGGGGAAGGCCGGGGATGTACACTCTTGACGCAGAAGAAAGGGTGTCTGTTTAAAGGGCAAAGCCCACCTTGGGCTTGACCAGCTTTGGGGAAGTGTAGCGATCCTTATTCCTTGACATTGGAAGTGGCCTTTTCTTTGAACAACTTTCAGATTCACATGTCCTCCTGTGTTTATTGGGGGAATCTTTGCCAGGACCCTGTGCAGCTCAAGGAAAGAAGCAGTGGGGAGTTAAGTTCGAGACCTTCCCGTTCCCTATCCTACCCTTCACCCCCAAAAGAAGGGAGGTCCCAGATCCTTTCTGGTAATCTTCCTTGTCTTCCCTCCTGAATTTCAAATGCATAAAAGAAATTGGGAACCTCAGTCAGTTCTGATGAGCGGCTAAAGAGAGGAGCAGGTGGGTCCCCCTCGGCGCTCACAGGAACACAGGGGCCGACCCGCAGGCCTGAGTCTACACCCCGGGAGGGGCCACAGGTGCTGGCTGACTCTGGCCACCAGCAGCTGATGTCTGCGTCACACACCACCCTGGTGACTGTCGCTGCTAGAAGGTCCAGGCAAAGGTGACAGGGGATAGCTGAGCTGAGGATTTAAGGAACCACGGGTGGAAGTGGGCATTTACGTAGCTAAAGAGAAAAGCTACGCTGCTTTCCCCACACTCATGCGGTGCCCCCATAAGCTAGTGTGGTGACAGAATGCCTGTGACACCCGTCTGGGCGGCTCCCGTTAAATTGCTCTAGTCGAGGCCTTATCTAGGGGATAATGAATGAGATTAATCGCAAACCTCACACTCCCTCTGCTGCAGGGACGTGAACACAGCTGTGATGGAGTTGCTGATCATGGCTTACGCGCTGAAGACCGCCTGTGCCAGGAACATCATCGGCGTCATCCCTTACTTCCCCTACAGCAAGCAAAGCAAGATGCGGAAGAGGGGCTCCATCGTGTGCAAGCTCCTGGCGTCCATGCTGGCGAAGGCGGGTGAGTGCGGCGGGGCCGCCGCCCGCGCTGCCTTCTGGGCGCTTCCCTGCCCGGCCGAGTCCGGGCCTTGTTTATTTAGCTGGGGACCTCTTTTTCTCTAGGTGTCACTCATTAGTTGCTTTCTCTCCTTTCCTTCTGCGTAGTGCCGGTTAGGGGTGTGTGAGCGAAGGTATAAATTCTTACCCTTTTCTTTTCTCTCCATCTCAGAGTGCCTTTATCTGCCTCAGTGCTTTCTGCTCTTCCCCCATCCCCGCCTCTCTCATCCTTCTGTTCGCCTCTGCTCCGCCTCACCGCGCTGCCGTCCCACTGTGACCGGCAGCCGGGGCCGTGGGATGCGATCTTTTGAGCTTCGGGTCTAGATTTATGTGTTTGCCTTCGTTAGCTGAATTCTGTTTACGTACATACTATTAAGGCTGGATTTTTCTGTTGCTACTTCTTCAGCTTACACACTCTCGTTCCCTCCTGATTGTCTTTCTGTACAGCAGGCCATAGTCGTTGCTTTTATTCTCTGTGTCTTTGTAGTCATGACATACTTTCTGGCCTGTGAATCAAGTGTAATAACACTTCACAATTATTGGAATCGTATTTCCTTGGTATTTATTTAAAACTCTAACAAAAAAAAAACCCCCAAAACACCACTAATATTAGTCCTCATAAACATACATGAGTTTTGTTTGGGCCTATTGATTGTATTAGTCTGTCTTCATTGCTTTTCTATAAATATATTTCTCGACCTAGTCTTTTATGACACATAGAAATTGTTCCAAACCCTTCAGTATCTTATCTTTGTATTACATGAATTTCTTTTTTTCTAATATGTACATTACTTTGCTTTTGTACATTACTTTCTTAGTCCTTCAGCCTTAGCCACCGTCTGTTAACGTTTCTTCCTAAATTCTTTAATCAAGGCCTTACTATTTTTTTACATCAGTTTTTGCTTCAGTATTTATTAATTCCATCCTCATATTTTTGCTTCTACCTGAATTTTCTTTTCTCGATTTTGTGGGCCAAGCTGCTAATAACAGCAGAGGAGCGCACTTTTCCCAGCTTCGGTTCTTTGTCTGTGTGGAAGGCCGCAGACTCCTTTCCGTTAGGTTGGGCGGGCCCCTAGTTTGTTAAGTTTTGTTAAGGTTACAAATAAAGCCAGTAACTAACATGTTTGGCCACAGTGTCCCCAGCCTTCAGGCTTTTGTCAGGAAGCAGGAGCCGGGCTCTAGTTTGTGTCCCCTGTAGCCATTAAATTGTAGGGGTGAACTTGTAATTCTTTGTTTTAAAATTTCAGGTTTAACTCACATTATCACTATGGATCTCCATCAAAAGGAAATTCAAGGCTTTTTCAGCTTTCCTGTGGACAACCTTAGAGCCTCACCTTTCCTGCTTCAGTATATCCAGGAAGAAGTGAGGAGTCACCAGCAGACACCCTATTGTCCTCACAAGCCGCCCTCTGTAGTTTTTCTGTGGTGCCAGATTTCAGCATTGAGAGGCACATCAGTGATCTGTCCCCGAAGTCTTGACGCTGAGGCAGCCAGATAGGGTCAGCGCCTAGGCAGGGAGGGCCCTGTACTTCAGGGACGTCAAAAATGGGTTTCCTTCTATGTATTTGTAGTGATTTGCTTATGTTTTCTAAAATGAAGCTTTTAAGAGTTAGTTACTTTTTATCTTCTTGATGTGACAGTACTTTTGCAATGTGTGAATGAAGTTCTGGCATATGTAATTGCTAGTATAGGTAGGCGTTCTAAGAGGAAAGAATGTAATACTGGCATCCAGGTATAATTTTTCAGTATTTTCTTTTTCCTCCAAATCTAGATTCCAAATTACAGAAATGCAGTCATTGTAGCTAAGTCTCCTGATGCTGCAAAAAGGTAAATAATGCAGACACTTACAGAAATCCCTCGTGGGTACTCTCTGTGTTGGTGTCCAGGGTGTGGCCGCGAGCGGCCTGGGAAGGCTCCTGGGCCAGGCGTTCCCCGCGCCCTTGCCCTGTCCCACACCACAGCGTTATCTAGACCAGCCTCCAGACTCCGCGAGCGGTTCTCAGAACAACCCCGCTTGCTTCTGGGAGGAGGTGCAGCTCTTCCTTCAGGTGCTCAGGATGAGGCAGGCAGAAGGGCTAGGGGCCCTTTTCCAAAAAGGCAGCCGTTTGTAAGAGGCCTGCTTCAACAGAGCTCTTTTCTTCTGAAGAAGAGTTTAGAACATTGGACAAAGGGCAGCACCCGCATTATCTGCAGCCAGGTGCTAGCCCTCATCTCAACTCAGGTGCCACTTGAGGCGTTTACCTTCTGGCCTGGGCCCCACGTTCTGTTTTGTATGAAGAGCATCCCTAAGTGCATCCCTAGGAGGTAGAAGGATGTTTTCATTTTATGATTAATAAGATGGAAAAACAACGCTTGGGTTCCCTTCTCATGAACATCACCGTTTCCCTGCGTCTCTCTCCTAGGGCCCAGTCGTACGCTGAGAGACTCCGTCTGGGTTTAGCCGTCATCCACGGGGAGGCTCAGTGTGCGGAGCTGGACATGGACGACGGTCGCCACTCTCCCCCAATGGTCAAAAATGCCACCGTCCACCCTGGCCTGGAGCTGCCATGTAAGATTAGCTCTATTTTTTACTTTATTTGTAAATTGAAACAAGTATTGAATAATATGAATGGCTAGGAGTTAATACGTACATGGGTATGTGCTTTCTTGGTATTTTAAAATAACCGAGGGGTGTTGCATTGATGCCGCCTTTTGTGAAAGGAGATTGTGTTGTACACATTTGCAAACTATGTAAAGACAATGGCACTTATCTGGGTGGCACTTAGCATTCAGAGAGTATGACATAATTTCAACCGCAGTGAAAAAGTTGTATGTATGATGTTGTGAAATATTAAGCTTTTATATTTTGGGCGATAGCCACTGTTGATCTAAAACCAGGCTCTGGCGATCAGGTGCCTGTGAGCACTGGGTCAGTGATACAGCTCTTGGACCGAACGCCCGCCAGACTTCGATCAGCCCAGCAGGGGCAAGGCTGCTGATTTCCGTGGAATTTTTGAGTGGCAAACCCAGCTTTCTGTCCTGGAAGATGTATTATGCCTTTTAGAGGAAGGAGATTATTTCTTTTAAAAATGGGTACCTATTTGTCATGCCTTAGAAACATACAGACATTAACAGGTGGAAAGAGAATAGAATGGTTGCACCTCACAGAGCCTCCTATCTAAGGGGTGAACATTCTGATTGTTTCTAATTATAAGACGCAGGAAACTAACATGGTTATAATGCTGTTGTCCAGTCTTTTTTACGAGCTGTCCAACCAATGTCCTTTAGAGCAAAAGACAATAGTTTTTTTCTGGACTAGAACCCAATTGAAGATAACACATTGCATGCAGTTGTCATTTCTCTTTAGTCTCATTTAATCTGGAATGGCTTCTTTGTCCTAGGTCTCTTATGACCTTGATCCTTGATAGTTTTGAAGAGTACAGGTTGGTTATTTTGTAGAATATTCCTTAATTGGGGCATGTTTGTTTCCTTGTGATTAGGTTGACTCAGTTACTACTGTGGTGGTTGTCAAATGGCGATTTTTCTAATTCTCCCTTTTCCCTCCTGGTTCATTCATTTGTGTCAGTATGGATTCTCAGAATCTTGTCTTATTCAGTGTATTCTAATCTAGTCCATCGCTACTATTTATTTTACTTTATTTTATTTTTAAATATTTTATTTATTTTATTTTTAGAGAGAGGGGAAGGGAGGAAGAGAGGGAGAAAAATATCAACGCGTGGTTGCCTCTTGCGCGCTCCCTACTGGGCACCACAACCCAGTCATGTGCCCTGACTGGGAATGGAACCGGTGACCCTTTGGTTCGCAGGCTGGTGCTCAGTCCACTGAGCCACACCAGCTGGGGCTACTATTTATTTTAATGCTCAAATTGTCTGAGACATGGCCAAAGAGAACTCTAAACCTCCAGTGTTCTTTTGACATGTCCCTATAATTTTTTGACACTTTCTTACTTTCTGGTATAAGATGTTCCCTGGTCATCTTGTGCCTTCTTAGCCGGGAAGCAGCCCTGACTCCTTTGTGTAAAGGGCATTGGAAACCAGGGTCAGGCTTCACAGTGCACATTCGGTCACCACACTCTACTGCCTCCAACTAACCTTGACTTACAGTCTTTTGTCAGTGACTGAATCTATTTATAGGATAAATTCCGAGAAGTAAAATGATCGGGTCAGAGGTTATTCTGATAGACACTGGTAACCTCACCGGGCGGTAGGTGTAAGACTCTCCATTCCGAGAACGCTGCTCCTTCCCTCAGACTGCAGCCCTGGTTCCCCAGCCGCCGCCGTGGGGGTCCCGGACGCCCGTAAAGCGCTGGTCTGTGTGCTTACAAGTTTCACGGTTGCCGTAGGTCATTTTTCTGTGGTTCCCTTTTATAGATTCAGTCGGGAGAATTCTGAAAAAATGGTATTTTTTTATGTGTAATTGAGCCTTCCAAACTACATACGCTTTGTATTTATTTATTAGTTATGTTTTAGTAGTTTATTTAATAGTAGTGAAGATGTTAGAATGTCAGGAAAAGGCCAAAGGAAAGCAAATACTCACCCTTGGAGTCCTCGCATCTGAAAGACTGGAACCCGGTCCTTTAGAGCGGCCATGGCTCTCAGCAGAGGGCGACTTTGACCCCCGGGGGGTTGGCAGTGTCTGGAGACATTCCCGGCCGCCTCAGCCCGGGACAGCGGATGCTCTATCCGGTGAGCATCCGCTGAGCGTCCGGAGGCCAGAGGCGCTGCTGAGCATCCTTCCGGTGTGGCAGGCAGCTGTCCGGTCCGGAACGTCGGTCACGCTGGCTGGAGAAGCCTTGTTAGAGGAATGGGTTAAAAGTGAAGTTGTGCAAATGTCCCCGTGTGGTAAGGCGCCACTGACGCCCCTCCGACAGTAGGGCTGCTGGTGAGCGTGGGGGGTATGTGTCAGTGGCTCCCCTGAACGCTGCTCTGGGTTCGCCGCAGTGGGGACAGTTGGCTGAGCACAAACGTGAGAAGAAGCCTCCTGTTCTAGCAGGATTTTCCTGGCTTGTTAATTTTATAAGTGAAGTGTTTTTCATCATTAAAGTGAAACAGACATTCACTGTCCTTGAGCATCTGTTAAATGTGAATTTTGACTTGTTTGCATGTAGAATGACAAGTTTGAGAATAATTTCAATTGCAGTTCTACTGGAGAGTTTATTTCTCATCCCTTTAATGTCAGTCCGACAGTAAAGTTTGACATTCCTTTGAACTAGAAATAGACCGAGATTAAAATGGGTGCAGAATGAGAACTTCTTCGTAGTCCTTTTTTGTTCTTTATTTTAGGAGAGAAAGGTTTGGTTAATTGGGAAAAGAAGGGAAAGTGTGTGTATGTGTGTGTGAGTGTGTAAAAGCTAAGGATGGTTATAAATACAGCATTATTTTACTTAGAAAATGCTAATTTTACAAGCAAACAGTGTTTTCTCCTCCTTTCATAGGAACATTAGAAATTATTTGCTAAATTGACATTTTTACTGCAGCAAGTTGATACAGTTTTTACAGTGGTTTCTGACCACAATGGATGGTGCTCAATTCATTTATTCTTTTTTTTAATTTATTTTTTATTGTCCACATACATTTGTCTCCATTTTTCCACCACCACTTCCCCCTGCCCCACCCCCCACAATTCATTTATTCTTAAACAGAGGGGTTTTGTTTGATAACGAGGAGAGTAAAATCGTAACATGAGATAGTGTAAGCTCCCTTTATCCCTGACCTTCAGAACATACATTACTTTCACTGAAAATGTTAAACTTTTGGTATTTTATTTTCTGGGCAAGCTATTGGAAAATTTTGCCATTTTTCAGCCCGTCAGGTACTGTTGTTTCTGTGGACCCTGTAGCGGGGGAACGAGCCCATGGGGAGCAAAGCTCGACTGTGAAAGCCTTTGTGGGCGTCAGTCCTGGCTGTGCTTGTTTCTCATTTTAAACTCTCAGACGCTCCCCGGCTGGTGGGGCTCGGTGGGTTGGACGCCGGCCTGTGAACCGAAGGGTCGACAGTTTGATTCCCCGTGTTGGGGCATAGGCCTGGGTTGCGGGCCGGGTCCCCAGTTGGTGGTGCGCGAGAGGGAACCACACGTTGATATTTCTCTCCCTCTCATCCCCTCTCTCTAAGATAGATAGGAAGAAAAAAAGAAAGAAACCAGAAGTGCTTTGGGAGAGGCGGGGTCATAGAGGCGTAAGCAGGAGGGCTGGCCGGGGCGTGTTTTCTGCATCAACCTAGAGCTGAACTTCTGTTGATCTTTGATGAGGGTACTGGCTTGCAACCTTTTTCTTTTTTTACAGAGAAAAATGGTCAAGAAAAGGGACTCCGTCTCTTTAAGAAGTGGGTAGGCCAATAGAAACACCTACCTACGTGGTGTCATTTAAAAACAATTTGAGGAAGCCTTTCCTAATATTGGTGATTTATTTTCTCCTTCTTAGGTGATATTTATATACAGAGCCGTTTCGACTGTCCAAATTAAAGTAATTGCCCTTGTTTCTGGGATGGGAAACCAGGAAATGTCTGTTAAAACTTGCCAGTAAAATAGTGCTGAATTTCAACTCATTTAATTGCCCTCTAAAAGGCATGCCTATTCTCTGAGGTTTATGGTTCCTATAGGTCGGAATCAGCTAAAATGGACTGTGAATTACTAAGTGGCTGCTAGTTACTAAACTATGTAATTACTCTGAATTTTTAAATTTCTCCTCCCCCACTACTAGTTTAATACATGCTTCAGAATAATAAAAAGCTTTCCTCCCCTGGTTGGTATGGCTCAGTGGACTGAGCGTCGGCCTGCAAACTTGAAAAAAAGGTCACCGGTTCAATTCCTAGTCAGGGCACATGCTGGGTTGTGGGCCAGGCTTTGGGGTCGTGTGAGAGGCAACCAGTCGATGTTTCCCTCTTTGTCTTCCTCCCTTCCCCTTCTCTAAAAATAAGTAAATAAAATCTTTAAAAATTAAAAATAAAACTTCTTTCCAAAAACATAGAGTACTTAGCCTACCCCCCTGAAATACTTGCCTTCTTCTCAGTTTACACACCTCCTTTCGAGGATGAGTTCTGGTTTCCCTCCCCTGCGCTGCACTTTGTTTTGTACGCGGATGGGCCTTTTCCAGAGAAATTTTTCAGTGAGATAAGAAGCCACTACTTTGAGGACTAATTAAAGCAGGAAATGATGGTGGACTCGCAGTCATTGTTTTCGGGTTCCTCATTTTCAGGAAGCTTTGATTGTGTCCACAGCGCAGTTGTCTGATAGTGAGGTCACGTTGTCCCACTGAGGCCACTTGGGAAGAAGAGGGTCCCAGCCTCTCCCCCGCGGCCCTGCCTGGTGAGGCGCCAGCAGAGGGTGGGGCTTTCCCGCCCCTCCGTCCTCGGAGGCGGGCGCCCCTGTGGCAAGTGGCCGGGCTGTGCCGGGGCTGCGTCCGTGTCCGCGAGCCCTCCCTGGCCGCTCCACTCCCACACTCGTGCCAGCGAGAGCCTGGCGGTGCCTGGCCGCCTGTGGCTGTCTCCACAGTCCTGAAGCGAGGCTGGTCCCAGCGAAGTGCTGTGTGTGGCGTGCCCCCCAGATACCGAAGATTCAGTGTGAGAACCATGTAAAGCATTTCTAACAAATCTGCGTATTGATTACACATTCAGATACCATATTTTGCTGTGTGTAATGTGCACTTTTTGGCCCAAAATTTTGAGAGAAAAATGATGTGCATTATACATGGGTAGTGCCTGAAATACCTTGTATCTCTTCTTGTGTTTTGTAATTATTACATAAAGTTTCTTGTACCATATGTTCAAAAATTAATGATAAAATTCCTTTATAATACAAAAACCAAGTATCTAAATATAAATAAATAATTGAATTAAAAGATTAAAATGAAAGACTTCCTGAAAGTTTGGGCCGAAAATGTGGGTGCGCATTTTCACAGCAAAATATGGTAATATTTAGACATATTGGGTAAAATAAAGTATTAATTTCACCTGTGTGTTTTTAATGTGGCCACCAGAAAATGCAAAATTACATGTATGTCACCTCTGTTCCTGTTGGACAACGTGCTCTAAACGGTCTGTCTCAGAGAGTTGTTCCCCGGCCCCCGAAGAGGAATCTGCTGCTTTTTCTTTGTCCACAGTGGCTTTGCCGCCACTTGCAGAGGGTGAGGCTGTAATCACATTTACTGTGTGACGCATGACTGATGTCTTGTTTCTCGTTTTGTTTTGCTAGTGATGATGGCCAAAGAGAAGCCGCCCATCACTGTGGTTGGAGACGTTGGCGGGAGCATCGCGATCATAGTGGTAGGGCTGTGTGTCTCCCTTCGCGGGCAGAGTGACACCTCTGCCCTTGGGTGCCTGTGCGCTTCGGGTTGTATGTCCAGTAATGGGGAGAGCTGTGAATGGGCCTGTCCGTCTGTTCTTCCCCAACCCCCTGAGCACAAGTAGCGACTTGTGTAGAGGTGAACAGGGACTGTTCTAAGCAACGTGTGGAAAGAGCGCGGTCACTCCTGAAGGGAAACCCAGCCCCACGCGGAACCTTTGTCTGAGGCTGCACGGCCCACCGCACCAGCTGCCCGGCTGTACCGTGAGCTTCAGGGCCATGGAGTGAGCTAAGGATGAGCTGTCCATGCTCACTAACAAGCACACGTGTCTCATCCTTCATAATTTAACATCATGTATCTGCTCCCAGCTCCAAATGTCTTTGCCGGGCCAGAGGATCATCCTTCATAGTGGCTCGCTTTATTTCTGTGTACCTCTCACTTAACCTTCTCTTAGAGAAGCAAGTGGGATGCTGGCCGTGTAGGATCAACCTGAAATTGAAACAGGAAATAAAGCCTTGATGGTCATGAGCTCTGGCTGTGTCACATATGACTACAGCTTTGCTGCTTAGTGCCGACAGCCATGTGCGGTCCACACAGTTCTGTTGCCTTTGCTGCATGTTCGACCTTTGACCCAGGCAGATGGCTCTGATTTTTGAGTCGCCATCCTTGGGAACGGGCACAGAGAAGGGCTGACAGTGTGTGTTTGCAGACAGAGTGGAGGGTAGCTCCCTGACACCGATGCTCGTCTCTTCTCAGGATGACATCATTGACGATGTGGAAAGTTTCGTGGCCGCCGCAGAGATCCTCAAGGAGAGGGGCGCCTACAAGATCTACGTCATGGCCACACATGGCATCCTGTCTGCAGAGGCCCCCCGCCTCATCGAGGAGTCCTCCATTGACGAGGTCCGTCTGCTGGTCGGGGGCTTGGGACGCTTCGCTGAAGTCGGTTTGCAGCTGGCTTGTCAGTGACGAGGGAGATGACTCAGCTGGCAGTGCTTAACCTCTGCAGAGCACCTGCGATGGCCAGCGTGTGTCAGGGCAGACAGATGTTTAGGAATACATGTCTGTTTTCATAAGGAGCTGCTTTATGTATTTCGGTATAACTTGTCTTTCAATATGATTTGATACTGAAGCAGCGTTCCTCTAAAGACTTGTGCTCTTCCCCGGCGGTAGGGAGCTTGGTGCAGAGCTGGGGCTCTCCCGCCACCTCTGCAAGCGAAGGCCAGGGCCTTCAGGATCGTAGGCTCTGAATCATGAAACCGTCCCTTGCGTAAAGTTGGTTCATTTAGTTTGTAAAAACCACACTCAGTGAAGTAAGGTTTGGAGGCTGGGACTCAGGCTGTGGGTACTAACTGTCGGGTAGACTTTTCCGAGTAGCCCCGCGGGACACGTCAGTAACAGTGTTTGTTTTTCCTTGCTGCCGTGACTAGGTGGTGGTGACCAATACTGTGCCTCACGAGGTGCAGAAGCTGCAGTGTCCCAAAATAAAGACGGTGGACATCAGTCTGATTCTCTCCGAGGCAATCCGGAGAATCCACAACGGAGAGTCCATGGCGTACCTCTTCCGGAACATCACCGTGGACGACTAGCTTTCGCCGTCGCCCTGGCCCTGGAACTCCCAAGGAGAACCGCCGTCAGCCGTGCGCACGGCGTGCCTTATGAAGGGAGTCAGAGTCAATCTCGCTGCGTTTGTAGGTAGGAGGCGTTAAGGTAGACAAGAGGGAGACAAAGCTAATGGCTGAGTGGCCTTAAATGTGTGCCCTTGTCATCCTGCTCCTTAGAGAAAAGTGACAGGCACTTTCTTGAAAAGACTCTGAAAATCTTTCAGTGTTAAAAAGGACTTCACTGCAGATCGAGTGTAACTCCATAATGTTCACTCGGTTGTTTCAGCCGCAGGGCAGTGCGCGTGGACGTTGAACTTGGTTAGGGAAGCTGAGCGCCCTGGCTCTGTTCCCATTCCAGTTGTCCTGTCTGTAGTCAGCCTCGTTTAATCTTTTCTAGAGAGTCATATTTTTCTCTAAGAAGCTTACAGCCATCGAACAGCGAGGCGTTTGCAGCGTTACTCCCTGGCGGGGACCAGATCAGAGGAGGCGCCCTCTCTGTGCGTCTGCATTGCTTTTCAGTTGCAAATAAAAGAATCTGCTGTCTTGCTGTTCTCTTCACACCATTGCACTGCCGTCCCGCCCACTGTCGTGCCTCCTGGTGGCTAACTTCGGTCCAGACTCTGCAGAAGACAAGGGACATACCGCACAGTAAAGGACGGCGGGGCCCACGGCTGGTCCCAGCCCTTAGACACGCGTCTCCTTCTGCAGGCCCTACCCCTCCCTGAGCATCAAGGTTAAATCTTTGTTGAATGATATAGTGAAGATCTAAATTTGTAAAAAATAGAACTAATTGTACCTCTTTAAAGCAATTATAGATGACACCTGTGTTTATTGCATTACCTAGGACTGCACTTGGCCCTTCTACCTGCCATTTAAAATTACACAATCAGAATTCTAATTTATACCCAAGCACATGTCTCATTCTTCGTATTTTAACACGATGTACTTGCTCCCAGGTTCAATTATAGGTGACACTTGTCTTTATTTGTTCCCAGCTGTCAGGTAGACCTTGCTGCAAATATGGTATAAACTTTCTGTGCCTTTGAGTCAAATCCAAGTCAGGACTGAATGTGTTCCCGGGAAGGAGGGGTGTCTGCCAGGCAGTGACCTGGAATTGTTCATGGGTTCTGGTCGTTCCTAAGACTAAGGGAAGGCAGTTCGCACCTTCTGCACAATGGCAGGCCTCTGCAGGCAAGTTTCGTTGACATTTTTATCTCCTTCCTAATGAGTACAAAAGTTCTCCACGCACAGTCGAGACTTCGAGCACATTTCAAGCGTCCAGAGCTCCCCTCTGGTAATAGGCCACAGCGGGGCGTGTTGAGCAGAGAACCTCATTATGCAATGGTGCGCGTGGTGGCGGAGGGAGAGCCATGGCCTGGCCCTCGGGCACCCCGCTTCTCCTTCTGGGGGCGGGTGGGCGGCTAGTCCTTCCGGGGCCTCTGTCATTGGTAAGTAATAAAAAGGGAGGTTTGGAACCAAAAGCTAAGGTCTTCTCAACCCAAATTCCATTCATACTCTCTGTTTAGTGTTTTCTCTGTGTCTCTAAGAGTAGAGATTTTTAATGTACTCAGTGAAAGCCTGTAGTAGAATGTGTTTCCTGGGATTAGAATGAGGGTATTTTCCACCAGCAGTTAGAGAGCCCTCATGTGCCTGGCAGGGTCCAGGCCTCGGGTGTGAAGATGAGAATGGGACCCCGGGAGTGGATGGTGGGCCGTGGCCAACGTAGTGTAGCAGGAGCGTCCTTGTGGAAAGTCACTGAACTTGGAATTGAGGAAGCCCACGCAGCCTCCACGGCAGCTGATGCCTGGTCCTGAGGCTTTGCCCTGACCTCCGTGGTCGGCAGCGTTCTGTGAGTGCGTGAGTGCCCAGGAGAGCACCGGAACTGCGTTCTCTGGAAGAGACCAGCCAGCACCTGAAGGCTCGTGCGCCGGGCACTGGGACTCCAACGGTGAATGGCATCTAGCGTTGTGCCCTCACGGAGCCTACAGGCTTGTGTTTAGCTCCGTCCCCGGGGAGCACTGATTTGTGGGGGGGTGGGGGAGCAAGGGGTTTGTTTCAGTTAAATTTTACCAGCTCAGACTAAACTAAAAATCTGAATTTGAAAGGAGTTAAAATAGGAGTAAGTAGAGATGCAGTCACAGGTTTTCTTCAGCTTCCCTGAATATTTCACACATTCTGGAATAACCTGGTGTGGGCAAGTTGTCAAGTGCTGAGAGCCCTGAGCTGGCTCAGTCCTGTCTAATCCTGCCTTGTAATGAGCTGAAATGCTGGCACTTGATGAGTGTGTTTTAAATTAGGCCAACGGAGCACGGAAAAGCTGTCACCTCGTGACTGACTGGCACCGCGTGGGTGGGAAGGGGTCTTATCGAAGCCACCCTCCCCTCTGCTGGTGCAAAGCGATGCGGAGACTGCCCCCCAGGGGCCAGGGTCCCAGGGCTGTGCCCTTAGATGTCTATGTGCCACTGCTCAGTGTAGTGGAACAGCGAGGGGCACAGAGCCTTGCCGCGGTGCCCTGTACACCTTTGTGTTCTCAGTGGCCTCCAAGGGCGAGTGAATCATGGGCCTTTGTGGGTAAGGGACGGCTGCAATCTGGGTGACCCTTCCGAGGCTCCCCGTCTCCGAGCCGATGTGCTTGATAAAAGGCCTTGGGACTGGCCTGTGCCACCTCTCCCCCGGGAGCGCTCACTGAGAACAGAACCGGGCGGCGCCCGGGGGTGTGGCCGAGGCTTCCCCAGGTCCCTGTGGGAAAGGCGCCCCTGGGGACTTTAGGCAGGTCCGACGAGGCGCGGACTTCTGCGGCACCCTCGGGCACGCGGGAGTCACCGCCGCGGGGTCGCCCCCGCCCTGCCCCGTTCCAAACGTCCGGTGGCCGAGACCCGGCGCGAGAGGCTGGCGGCCCTGGGCTTGAGCAGAGACAGCGACGAGCCGGCGGAGGGTCCGCGGTGCCCCAACCCCGCCCGTTGGCGGGTGCAGGCTCGGCTCAGGGAGCGCAGAGCGGGAAGCCCGGCGGCAGCGGGGTTCCTCTCCGAACTCCAGGCAGACGCCAAGCTGAGCCCAGAGGCAGGGCAGGACTCCTCGGGACCCCGCAGGGTCCCTGAAAGGCCACAGTGGCCGTGAGCGGTGAGGGGCATGGCCAACGGTCTGGCAGCGGGAGGTGACCGGCCCTGAAACCGCGCACGATGCCGCCTGCGACGCCCTCCACCTCGGTCTCCCTCCGGGAGCTGGCCGACCTGGCCATTGGCACCCCGGAGGTGGGCGCCGTCAACTTCACGGCCCTTCACACGCTCGTTGTGGCCATGCTCAAGAAACTCCACTTGCAGGACACGAAGGTGGACTTCCAGACCCTGTCGCCTGAGCAGAGCCGCTCCTTTGAGGGCCCTCGGGCCTCGCTGAGCATCCCGCAGGTGGCGGCGCCCAAGGAGAAGCGAAAGAGCAGCATGGCCAGGATGCCGGCCCAGATGCTGGAGGTCCAGGTGAAGGACCTGGGCGGGCAGGTCCAGGACCTCGGCCAGCAGTTCAAGACCATGGACAGCCAGGTACAGGGCATCCTGAACCACATGCAGTACTTCACTGCCCTGGTAGGTGGTCTGGACGCGGACCCCCAGGAGTGGCTAGGGAAGTCACAGATGACCACTCCCACTACTGAGATGGCCACGCCCACTACTGAGATGGCCACGCCCACTGCCCGGATGGCCACGCCCACTGCCCGGATGGCCACGCCCACTGCCGACGTAGCCATGCCCGCTACTGGGATGGCCACGTCCTCCACCGAGAAGACCAAGCTTGAAATGGCCACACTGATGCCCAGGATGGACAAGCCTACGCTGGGGATAGCCACAGCAGCCAGTGAGCTGTCCATGGCAGTGCCCAGCATGGCCACAGTGACGCCCGAGAAGGCGCGAATGGGGTTGATGAAAATCTGGAAGGACAGTCCCCAGGTGAGAGCGTGCCGAGCTCCTCCAAACCTCATGCTCAGGCTGGGGCTGAGTCCCAAAGACGCCCACCAGCACCCACTGCTGGGGGGAGGCGGCCAGTGCGGGCCGGCGCGGGGACGGTGGGGTTTCCAGGCCTCGGTGCAGCCCGGGCCCACGAGGCCCCCACTCTACCTTGCAGGCCATGGAGCTGCTCCAGAATGTCGTGGAAGACGTGAAAACCCTGAAGGAAGCGCAGAAGAAGGTGCAGGAGTCCCCCGAGTTGAACCCGCAGGTGAGGGTGGCTGGGACCCCACCTCTGCCTACGGGTCCCCCTTCCTCGCGGGGTTTGCACGGAGGCCCACCGTCCACTTACCAGACACCCAAGGATCCTGAACCCACCCGGAGGGGAGCCGACGACGTCTCAGAATAATTCCTTGAATTTCTTCCAAAGCATAAAGAAATAAGGTGGTAGGAGTTGAGAGACAATGCTCAGTCGGGGGTGGCGCGGGGGGTGGGGTGGGGCGGGGGGGGGGGCTGGGGCGAGAGAGTGCTGCGGTCGCCCCCTCAGCAACCCAACCTCCACCTGTAGGCGCAGCCAAGCTTTCCCCGGGCTCTTTGCTTTTTTGGAGCGAGAAGGATAAATCCTTCCGCAGAGCGAAGGGGTGCTCCAGACCGCGCTGCTGCCTCCGAATGTCCGCGGCCTGCGGAGGGGATCAGAGCCCAGGACGGGAGCACGGAGAGAGGCCGAGGAGAGGCTGGAGGGGAAGGGCACCCTCAGGGGAGGCCAGGACTCGGGGCACCGCCGGGCCGCGTTTTGCCCAGCTCGGGATCCCAGGCCTTGCAACCCGAGTGGAGCTCATTTTTGCTGTGGGAAGCTTTGCTTTTGAACGTGTGGTGGTTTTAGGTTTTTAGAGAGAAGACATTTACCTTTAGATTCTTAGATTCTGAAGGTTTGCTGAAGGTGTAAATTCCAGCAATTTGCTTTTAAACACCACAGCGGCTCAGAAGCCCTCCAAGTGCCCAGCGATGCCTGTCCAGGGGCAGCGAGGCCAGCCCTGTTCTGCAGCCGCGCACCATCTCCCCGGCGGCTTGAGTCCCAGGGCACCCAGCCCACCCCAGCCTCAGCTTTGGCTCCCGGCACACCTGGCCCCACGGCCGCCCGCCAGGCCCCATGGCCCTTCTTCCTGTCGGCCCACCCGCCTCCCGTGGGTCCTCTGCTCCTCTAGGGCGACACGGCTCCCCTCCCTGCCCCTGTGAGGGCGTGTGTAGGGGCCACAGGGGGGCCTGCGTTGACGCTCTGCCTCTGAACTCTTCTTCCAGACACTCCTGCAACGGATTGAGAAAGTAGAGAGGATAGTCAGAGACCGGGAGGAAGTCCTGGTAATGTCCGCCAGTCCTGTGGGACGGGGTCCCGAAGCGGTGGCAGGAGGGGGAGAGCCCACAGCCCGGCCCCCTCTCTGCTCCTCCAGGCGCCTGCCCTGGACGTTGGGGCCCCCCCACCCCCGGGGAGGACGAGGCGCACCCTCTGCCTCTCGGGCGCTGCCCCGGGGTGGAAGGGAAAGACTCTCCTTCCATCCCTGCCCAGTGCTGGTCACAGCCCACGTGGGACAGGCAGCCAGTGACCCAAGACTCCCAGGGACCTCTCCTTGCGGCTCGGACTGTGGCAGGACTGGCCCATCCTGTTAGCTTGGTCCTGAGATTAAACGAGCTGCACGTGCTCCTTTTGTCTGTTGCGGGCAGGAACCCTTGAGCCGGAAACTCACTTTGACGCCTGCAGGGGAAGAAATCACCATGGTCACCTGGGAGGAGCTGGAGCATGCGATCAAGGACGGCTGGAAGGCCTTACAAGGGGTGAACAAACGGCGGGGTCGGGGCGGGGCGGCAGGGGCCGGGCAGTGGTCTCCCCCAAACCTCTCCCTTTTTACTGTTGTACAGGGTTCCATTATGTGGCTGTTCATAATTTACTTTGCAGTCTCCTATTATGGATACTTAATGCTCCATGTGACATTCACAAGAGTGAACACAGGCATAGGGTAAAGTCCTAGCAATGGAATGTGCATTTGTGGTTCGAGGAGCTTTGGGCAAATGGCCTCCTGCGGGCGGGGTTCCCATTCAGACCCGCGCCAGCCACTAGGAGGGAAGTCGCGTCCCGTGGCCCCCCAGTGCTGTCCACAGGGGTGCGGTTCTTTGAGCCTGGCCAGCAGGCTGCATGGAAAATGGTCCCTGATCGACGTTTGCAGTGCTTCAAAGTCCTTTGGCAGCTCATCCTGAAACTATCAGAGGGCTGAGGTAGACCAGCCCTGGCAATAACACCTCTTTAGGCGCCCTTTGCTGACAGGACTTTTACAACGCGGGGAACTGGCTCCAGGGCGCCCATCTGTTCAGAGACAGCTCACGGGATAACCTGTCTTCATCTGAACAAAATGGGTATTTTTACATGACCTTCAAGGACGAGGATCAACTGACGTTTGGGCTTGACATTGCTGTTCCCCTGGCTTCATGCATCTGGGTCCCTCAAAAAGGGTCACACAGATACGGAGACACAAGCAGGGGGAAAGGAAGGGACCCTTTGGCGCCACCACGTGGCCACCTGGGGTGCGAGAAGCAGGGTGTCTATTGTACCGTGGACACAGCAGACGCCCTGCTGGTCCCCGGGACTGTTTTCTGACCTCTGGGCTCTTCTTTGGAGGAAAGTGCCATCAGAAGGTTTTGGAAGAGAAGTCTGCAAACAGGAGGGGGCCTGAGAAAGGTGGCTTCTGCTTTCACTGTTTTAAACGTTAAAAAAGTATTTTTTCAGTTACAGGTACCATGCAATGTTAGTTTCAGGTGTACAGCATAGTGACTAGACATTTCTACGCTGTTTTTTTAAAAAGCTGAAGCTGATTTACACCTACCACTGTCGCGTGTTTCAAGTGAGCACACGTGTTCTTGGGGAGCCAGCAGAAGGCACCTGCGAGACTATAAATAAGCAACCACATAAGCACCTGGAGACATTTTCCCTCCTCCCAGAGCTAAGAAAGTGTCAGTGTTTTCATAATCATGAACAACTCCAGAAGCAAATGAGAGTAAAAATGCTACAAGGTTTTGAGAAGCAAGAGGGCAACCTCAGGCGATGACAAGCATTTGCCCAGGATCATGTCAACGTCTGTCATTACCCGAGGTTTGACAGCCCCTCCCCTGAGGAGCCTGCAGACGCTGTCTTCCATTCTCGTAGGCTTCCTGATGCGAACTGAACTTTTCTGGTGCTCTGGCCTCGTTTTCACCCGTACGGCCAACCGCTGGTTGATCATTTCTTGGTTATCCAATCTTCCTTCAGGCACTTGCACTCTTTCTGTTCTTGATTTTGCCCGAGAACAGGAGCACAGGCAATCAGCAACATCCCGAGGTGCAGGGCTGGGATGCAGGCGTCTCGATGGTTCGGTCTTCTCCCATCCCCCTCTCCAAGGGCGGTGTCCCTGCCCATTGGTGCTCATCCCCGAGTCCTCCCTGGGGTCATGTTCTTGGTTCCAGCCTGCCAATCTCTGCCTTCTGATGGGAGTGTTTAACTGCTGATAAAGTAGGGCTTACCCCTTCCGTTTTGCTGTTTATTTTCTGTATGTTCCTCCTCCTCTGTTATTGTACCATGTGAATTCCCTTGCTGTTTTTTTGCCTGTACATTTTTTATTTGTTCTTTTAAAAAAAGATTTTATTTATTTATTTAAAAAAGATTTTAAAAAATCTATTTATTATTTTTAGAGAAAGGGAGAGAGAAAGAGAGGGAGAGAAACATCAATGTGTGGTTGCCTCTTACACATGCCCAACTGGGGACCTGGCCCGCAACCCAGGCCTGTGCCCCGACTGGGAACCGAACCAGCGACTCTTTGGTTCGCAGGCTGGCACTCAGTCCACTGAGGCGCACCAGCCACAGCTGCGTTTGGTTTTTTTTCTTTTCCCCATATATTTTTGTGTTATTTTCTTAGTGGGTCCCCAGCAGTGTTCAGTGTAGAGCTAATCATTCTCCACTCCTGAGACCACACCTTTCTGAGGACTTTGCCCCTTGAATCCCGAGTGCCTTCCAGACTGGCTGGTAGGAAGAGGCACCGCAACCAGCCTCGCGAGAACGGGGGGCGCCAGTCCCTCCCGCCTGGAGGATGGTTCCTCTCCCAGCCTCAGATGGTCTCCTCCCGGGTGTGCTGGTCACTTCTGCACAGACGCCCGAGGGGGGCCCTCTGCAGCCCCCCGAGTCATCTCTGTGCATCTGCTTTCTGCTTCTTCACCCTGTGGCCTCCATCTCCTGGAAGAATGTTCAGCTTTGCCCCAACTCAGGGGGCGTGCTGGGCGCCCATCAGCCCACCCTCCTGCACTGCAGCCTGGAGGCGCCATCGAAGGCCTGGGGGAGGCAATGGTGCGGCTCACGTGGCCTGTCTCCCCGGCTTTCAGGGACTGCCAGCTGCATCAGCTGATCGCCGGGGCCTAGAACTCCGTGCTCTCACTGTTGTTGGCTTTGGGTTTTGGATTTTGGTTGTTAGAGAAAGGAGCGCAAACCCAGTCTTTGTTTCTCCATTTGGGCTGGACATGGAAATAATCCATTATTCATTCTATTTAAACAGATTTTTAGTATTCTTCTGTATGGGTGCACCATAAACACATCAGCCCCTTATCGATAACGTTTTTTTGGTGTTTTTTTTTATAAACAGTGCTACAGACGCGGTCTTTGTACATGCATCTTGGCATTCTTTTGTGAGAGTCTGTAGAGAAAATTTCTATCTATGGAAATTCTGGGTCTGAGGGTTTGTGTGTTTGCATTTTAAATATATGGTTCGGTTGCCCCGCAGTGCACACTTCTGCCCTCAGCAATGGGCCACTGAAGAGGGAGGCTTCATATTTTAAACTTAGGGAATGACTCGTGTTTTCTGCAGTGTGGATCACATGTGCTTTGCAGTGCACATGTGATCCCCTCTCTTTTCGGTGGGGAGATTTATGTACTATGATGACATTTGCAAATGTACAGAGTCTCAAAAATCTGGAGACCTGTCCTTCAAGAGTGCAAAAGTCTGTCTTTGTGTCCAGCTTCATTTTGGGGACCAGGGGGGCCTTTGTCCCAGGAGCCTTAAGTGATGCTTTTCAGATAGGCCCGATATCCCTCCCTCGAAGCCTTATAGTATTTTTCACTTGTAGTCTCTGCTTTCTTTCTTCCTCTTCAACCAGGGCTCAGAGTCAACAACGGGACTTGTTAAGCGCAAAAGGAAAACTTCCTTATCGTCAAATGATATGATTCCAAGTGGGGCCGCCACCAAGAGTTCAAGTGTTGACAAGGGTCTGGATTCAGCCGGTAGTCTGGGCCCAGATCAGGTCTTACCAGGGGCCAGCGGGTCAGGACGCCCCTCTGAAGGGGTTCTTAGCAGGGAACGCGGCAGGCATACCTCTGCTGCTGGGTTTCCTGGGAGAGAACAGCACCCAAGGGCTCGTGACGAAGCCAGCCCGGCTAAAACCCCACGCCCCTCTGAGCCCCAGCTCAGAGTGGAGCCTGATCATCACAGGCCAGGAGAGCAGCTCGGCTTAGTGCATCCAAGAAGAGATGAACAAGAGGGATACCCTCGCCCAGTTCAACAGGACTTAGCCTCAGCTAGAGGTGGGCATCAACAGGTGTCCCCAGACCCACGCAGAGGGGAGAAAGTTGGCCTGGGCCAAGCCTATGCAAGGCCAGACCAGCATGGATCAGAGCCACCGGACCTGGATCAGCTTGAATTGCTACAGCCCAGAACTCACCCCCATGGCGTGTTCCCCTTCAGCACGAGTCAGCTGGGCATGATGCCGCCTGGAATGGTTGGGCAGGAATCAGTGCTCCCTGGCATGGGTCAGCATGACGTGGTGCCACCATGGGTACCTGGCAGAGAGCAGCAAGGATTGGCACTACCTAGCATGGAGCAGCCTGGTATGGTTCCACTTAGCACACATCAGCGAGGTGTGAGACTTCCTGGCACAGACCAACGTGGTATGGCGTGGCCTGGCATGGACGAGAGTGGCATGGGACCATTTGGCATAGATCAGCATGGATTTGCAATATTTGGCGTGGATCAACAAGGATTGGTTCTACCTCTTGCAGACCAGCGTGGGCTGGAATCACCAGGTCTGATGCAAGCTGTTACAGAACCGCAAGGTTTTGTGCGTCTCAGTTCGGAAATGCCTGGCTTCATACAACCTGGCACACAGCGGCATGATGGGATCCAGGCTAGTGCAGGTCAGCCTGGTTTGGTCCAGCTTGGCCTAGAGCAGGGTGGGTTGGCCCAGCTCAGTGCTTATCCACCTGGCTGGATACAGCCTGATGCATATCCTTTTGGTTTGGTCCAGCCTGGAATGGATCAGCGTGGTTTGGTCCAGCCCGGAATGGATCAGCAAGGCTTCGTCCAGCCGGGAATGGATCAGCATGATTTAGTCCAACCTGGAATGGATCAGCAAGGTTTGTTCCAACCTGGTGCAGGTCAGCCTGGTTCAGTCCAACCTGGTGCAGGTCAGCCTGGTTCGGACCAACCTGGTGCAGGTCAGCCTGGCTCAGTCCAACCTGGTGCAGGTCAGCCTGGTTCAGTCCAACCTGGTATAGTTCAGCCTGGTTTGGTCCGACCTGGAACAGTTCAGCCTGGTTTGGTTCAACCTGGTTTGGTCCAACCTGGTTTCGTTCAACCTGGTTTGGTTCAACCTGGTTTGGTTCAACCTGGTGCAGGTCAGCCTGGTTTGGTTCAACCTCGTTTGGTTCAGCCTCGTTTGGTCCAACCTGGTTTGGTCCAACCTGGTGTAGGTCAGCCTAGTGCAGTCCAGCCAAGAGCAGGTCAGCCTGGTTTGGTTCAACCTCGTTTGGTTCAGCCTCGTTTGGTCCAACCTGGTTTGGTCCAACCTGGTGTAGGTCAGCCTAGTGCAGTCCAACCAAGAGCAGGTCAGCCTGGTTTGGTCCAACCTGGTACCATTCAGCCTGGTTTGGTTCAACCTGGTGCAGGTCAGCCTGGTTTGGTTCAACCTGGTGCAGGTCAGCCTGGTTTGGTTCAACCTGGTACCATTCAGCCTGGTTTGGTTCAACCTGATGCAGGTCAGCCTGGTTTGGTTCAACCTGGTACCATTCAGCCTGGTTTGGTTCAACCTGGTGCAGGTCAGCCTGGTTTGGTTCAGCCTGGTACCATTCAGCCTGGTTTGGTTCAACCTGGTACCATTCAGCCTGGTTTGGTTCAACCTGGTGCAGGTCAGCCTGGCTTGGTTCAGCCTGGTACCATTCAGCCTGGTTTGGTTCAACCTGGTGCAGGTCAGCCTGGCTTGGTTCAGCCTGGTACCGTTCAGCCTGGTTTGGTTCAGCCTGGTGCAGGTCAGCCTGGCTTGGTTCAGCCTGGTACCATTCAGCCTGATTTGGTTCAGCCTGGTACCATTCAGCCTGGTTTGGTTCAACCTGGTGCAGGTCAGCCTGGTTTGGTTCAGCCTGGTACCATTCAGCCTGGTTTGGTTCAACCTGGTGCAGGTCAGCCTGGCTTGGTTCAGCCTGGTACCATTCAGCCTGGTTTGGTTCAACCTGGTACAGGTCAGCCTGGCTTGGTTCAGCCTGGTACCATTCAGCCTGGTTTGGTTCAACCTGGTGCAGGTCAGCCTGGTTTGGTTCAGCCTGGTACCATTCAGCCTGGTTTGGTTCAACCTGGTGTAGGTCAGCCTGGTTTGGTTCAGCCTGGTACCATTCAGCCTGGTTTGGTTCAACCTGGTGCAGGTCAGCCTGGTTTGGTTCAGCCTGGTACCATTCAGCCTGGTTTGGTTCAACCTGGTACAGGTCAGCCTGGTTTGGTTCAGCCTGGTACCATTCAGCCTGGTTTGGTTCAACCTGGTACAGGTCAGCCTGGTTTGGTACAGCCTGGTACCATTCAGCCTGGTTTGGTTCAACCTGGTACAGGTCAGCCTGGTTTGGTACAGCCTGGTACCATTCAGCCTGGTTTGGTTCAACCTGGTACAGGTCAGCCTGGTTTGGTTCAGCCTGGTACCATTCAGCCTGGTTTGGTTCAACCTGGTGTAGGTCAGCCTGGTTTGGAACAACCTGGTACTGTTCAGCCTGGTTTGGTTCAATTGGGTACAGGTCAGCCTGGTTTGGTTCAACTTGGTGCAGATCAGCCTGGTTTGGCTCAACCTGGTACAGTTCAGCCTGGTTTGGTTCAATCGGGTACAGGTCAGCCTGGTTCGGTCCAACCTGGCGCAGGTCAGCCCGGTTCGGTCCAGCCTGGCGCAGTTCTGCCTGGTTCGGTCCAGCCTGGCGCAGTTCTGCCTGGTTCGGTCCATCCTGGTGCAGGTCAGCCTAGTGCAGTTCAACTGGAAGCAGGTCAGTCTGGTTTGGTTCAGCCTGGTGCAGGTCACCCTGGTTCGGTTCAGCCTGGTGTAGGTCACCCTGGTTCGGTTCCACCTGGTACAGTACCGCCTGGTTCGGTCCAACCTGATGCAGTTCTGCCTGGTTCGGTCCAACCTGGTGCAGGTCTGCCTGGTTCGGTCCAACCTGGTGCAGTTCTGCCCGGTTCGGTTCCACCTGGTACAGTACCGCCTGGTTCAGTCCAACCTGATGCAGTTCCTCCTGGTTCGATCCAACCTGGTGCAGTTCCGCCTGGTTCGGTCCAACCTGGTACAGTACCTCCTGATTCGATCCAACCTGGTGCAGTTCCGCCTGGTTCGGTCCAACCTGGTGCAGTTCCGCCTGGTTCGGTCCAACCTGGTACAGTACCTCCTGGTTTGGTCCTACGTGGTGCAGGTCAGCCTGCTTTGATTCAACCTGGTGCAGGTCAGCCTGGTTTGATTCAACCTGGTGCAGTTCCACTTGCTTTGGTCCTACCTGGTGCAGGTTGGCCTGGTTTGGTTCCACCTGGTACAGGTCAGCCTGGTTTGGTTCCACCTGGTATAGGTCAGCCTGGCTTGATCCAACCTGGAATAGATTACCAACATTTGGTCCGACTCAGTGAGGCTCAACCTGGTTCAGTTCAACCCAGTGCAGGTCAACTTGGTTTGGTCCAACTTGGAATGGATCAGCGCAGTTTGATCCAACCTGATGCAGTTCAGCCTGGTTTGGTGCAGCCTGGGATGTATCAGCAAGGTCTGGTCCAACCTGGTGCCAGTCAGCCTGGTTTGGTCGAACCTGGTGCCAGTCAGCCTGGTTTGGTCCCACCTGGGGCAGGTCAGCTTGATTTGGTCCCATCTGGTGCAAGTCAACCTGGTTTGATCCAGCCTGGTGCTGGTCAACCTGGTTTGGTCCAGCCTGGTGCAGGTCAGCTTGATTTGGTCCCACCTGGTGCACGTCAGCCTGGTTTGGTCCTACCTAGAATGGATTGGCGTGGTTTGGTACCGAGTGGTGCATATCCACCTGGTTTAGTACAGCCAGGAACATATCCCCGTAGTTTAGTTCAACCTGGTGCCTATCCGCGTGGTTTGGTCCCACGTGGGGCCTACCCTCATGGTTTGGTCCAGCCTGGTGTATATCCACATGGTTTCATGCAACCTGGTACGGAGCAGCGTGGCTTGGTTCAACCTGGAATAGATCAGCGTGGTTTGAGGCAACCTGGTGCAGACCACCGACGCTTGGCACCCTCAGGCCCAGAGCTTCACGGCTTTCCACTCCACTGGGATTCTCCAAGTTTTGGACCTCCACGCCCCTATCAACATGGTATGGTACCTCCTGGCAGAGATCAGCATAGCCATGCGTCACCACTCCTAGCCAAGCAAGGTTTGGTGTCACCAGGTATAGACCACGAGGGTTTGGTACCAACAGAAACTTATCAACATGGTTTGCTGCCTCCTGGCACAGACCAGCATGGTCCAACACCATTAAGCACAGATGTGGAATCTGCACAATCAGATCAACAGCATTTGGTATCACCTGCTCCGGATCAGCGTGGCCAGGCACACTCTATTCCGGACTCCCATGGCCTCATGTACCCCGGCCCGCATGGCCCGGGGTACCCATATGCTGATCAGTACGTCCAAGTAGGTTTGTATCCACACCAACCTGGGGTTTATAGTCAGACTCTGCCCCACCAAGACACCGCTTCTTTCAGGAGTACAGACAATTTCAACCATCTCTACCAAGTCTCACCACACAGAAGTGACATCGAGGATGACAGAGAAAATTCCCTGGACAGAGTGGCTCCCAGCTTCCCCATCGCAGTGGAAACATTGCGTCTGATGGGAGAGCTCATCAGCCTCTACATGGAAATAAAGGATACCATGAAGGACCTGGATGAGCAGAAAGCTGGCCAGACCGACTTGGAGAAGTTCCAGTACCTGTTCTCCCGGATGGGTGGGTGCTGCTGGAGGGGAAGGAGGCCACGGTCTTTGTTCTGAACTGATTTCATCTCCCTGTGCCCTCCCAACCCCCGCCCTGGCCTCAACTCCTGGCAGCCAGGCTCCTCCCTGAGTCCCGGAACATAGGACGTCCACTTTTAGCCATCCTGGGCTCTCCCAGAGTCTTCAGGGCCCAAAGGTGGAATTAAACCCTCAGGAGTGAAAGAGCCTCAGGAAAGGAATGAGGCAGGTCCTCGTGCCTTTGTCCCACTCTGTGGACGGCCTCTGGGGGAAATGTTGGGGGAGGGGACACCAACAGCATTAGATGAGGGTGGGAGGACAGACTGTTCAAGGTTTAAACTTAATCTTTGTCTATTCGCAGCTCTAGGTCCAGAGAATAATGAAGACTTTAGAGTTGGGTGGAAGTAGTGGGTCCATGGTCTCCAAGCCCGTAGGACATGAAGCCTTAGGTGGATTTTTTATGGGCTAAGGACACCCCGTCTCCTTTCTTCCCATGCCTTCCCCCCATTCATGTGCTTTTGGAGGTAGCTTCATTGTGGGGGCTGGCAAAGGGGCTTGGAAGCCCACGGGACTAACATTTCTGACTTGAAGGCTTCCTTCTTCCACAGTCCAAAAGACCATACCACCGGACCTGCAGGAACAGCTGAAGAACATAAAGACCTTGACCAAAGAAGTTCGGCAGGAAAAAGCAAAAGTACGTAAGGGCGGGCGTACCTCCTTTGCCTTGCGCCAGTGACCCGTGCCCCCCCCGCCCGCCCCCGCCCCCGGGGCCGCGATGCCTGACAGCCCTTTCACTCTCCTGCTGAGCCACCCAGGTCTTGACCGTCCCGTCAGGTAGGAGGTGCCCTCGGATGTCTCTGTGCTCATTTCCTGGTCATAAAGCTGACCCTCAAAGCTGTTAAGATGCCGCCCAGCCAACAAGGAGGCCCGTGCACTTTCCAGTACCTGCAGCTGTTTCCAATAAAACCCAGGCCCTGGCACAGCCTCGGAGCCAAGCGTGTGGGGCTGTCCGGGGCCAGCGGCCACAGCAGGGGGCTGCTGGGCCTTCAGTGGCCTTCTTACTGCCTGTGGTCTGCATCCCTGGGAAGGATGGGTGGACGGGCATCAGGAAGGGACCTTGGTGTCTGTCAGAAGGTTGGAAAGGGTCAGGGCACGAGGGAGGAGCTCGCTCAGGTGAAGAGGCGTCAGAACGCCGAGTGCTCCAGCATGGAAGACCCTCCTCTTCCCCTGGGTTTGTAGGTGGAAAAGATACAAAAGATCCTGCAGGGCGAAGAGCAGCCAGGGACGGGAAAGGAAATGAAAGGTGGCCAGCTGAGTTTGCAGCTGGGCACCCTCAGGTAACTGCCCCTTCCTGACCACACCTGTCCTCAGCAGGGAGGCTATGGCAGCCGTTGGTGCACCCGGGTGCTGACCCAACCACCGCCTTTGCCCTGGGGAGTGTCCGCTCTTCAGTTTGCCCACATCTAGTTCAAGTTCCTGATGGAAGTTCCCCAAGTTCCTCAAACAGTTCTGCACCAGGGCTTGAAAGAGCTCTCCCCCCTCCCCCCTAAAAAGCTCCTTAGACTCTGTCCCCAGTTGGAGCTTTTTAGAGCCCCTCCGAGTCCTCTCTCTGCATCGCCAGGTCTCCCCTGAGGGAAGCACGCTGGGCACCCCCCACCCGGGACAGGCAGGGCCTCGGGCTCCCTAGACAGAGCCTGCTGGCAGGGCTCAAACAGCCCTGGCCTGTCCTCCCCCGCGACGGCTGGGCCAGCCCCGGAGGCCTGGGGCCCAGAGCTGGTGGTGGGACCAGGACGTCCCTGTACCCGCAGAGTCACCGTGGCCGACATCGAGAAGGAGCTGGCTGAGCTGAGGGAGAGCCAGGAGCGGGGCAAGGTCAGCATGGAACATTCGGTCTCTGAAGCTTCCCTTTACCTGCAGGATCAGGTGAGGCTTCCACAGTCCTCGGCGCAGGGGCCAGGGCCTACTCAGGGTCGCCGTCCAGGTGGGCGCAGCCCCCTCCGTCCCCCTGCCCCTCCCCCGTGCATGTATGTGAGGGGGGCTGTACCCAGGATCCAGCCTCTCGTCACCCAGAACCAGCTCTGAGGCCGCAGGTGCAGGAGGGGACAGGCGCGCCGTCGCGGCCTGTCCACCTGTGCGCCATGAAGTCTTTCCCCCCATGTTTTAAAATTAGATAATTTACGCACCGTGAAATGCACCCTTTGAAAGTGAACGAGGTCGTCCTTGGTACACTTACAGAGTTGTGCAGCCATCACCATGACCGAATTCCAAAACGTCCGTCCCCCCGGAAAGAGACCTTGTCCCCGTTAGCAGTCACTCCCCGCCCCTGCCGCCCCGGCCCCTGCCGGCCCCTGCCGGCCCCTAACTGCTCTCCATCTCCGGGGAGCCACCTGTTCTGGGCATTTCACGTAAATGGAATCATACAGCATGTGGCCTTTCGTGGGACCTGGCTCCTTTCACGCCGTGTGATGTTTTCGAGGCTCCTTCCTGTCACAGCGCGGACTTCAGTCGCTGCTGCGGCTGAGTCGTGGTCCATCGGATGGCTGTGCTGTAAAGTTTCGTTTGTCCAGCCATCGGTTGAAGGGCAGCTGGCTTGTTTCTACCTTTTGGCTCTACTGGTTTATGGTGCTACAAACATCCGTCTGCAAGTTTTTGTGTGGACATACGTTTTTAGTTCTCTTGGTTGTATACCTACGAGTGGAATTGCTGGGATATATGGAAACTCTCTGGTTGACGTTTTGAGCAACTGCCAAAGTGTTTTCCACAGAGGCTGCACCATTTTACGTTCCCACCAGCCACCCATGAGGGTTTCAATTTCTCCTCGTCCTTACGAACGCTTGTTTTCCTTTTATTGAGTTAGAGCCGTCCTAATGGGTGTGAAGTGGTATTTCGTTGTGGTTTTGGTCTGCATTTCTCTGGTGGCTAATGATGTTGAGAATCTTTTCATGTGACTATTGGCCATTTGTGTATCTTCTTTGGAAGGATGCCTATTCAGATCCTTTGCCCATTTAAAAATTGCATTATTTGTCTATTTATTGTCTCGTTGTTGAGTTCTTTATATATTCTGGATACTGGGTTCTTATCTGATATGTGATTCACAAATATTCTCTCCCATTCTGCGGGTTGTCTTTCATTCTCTTGACAGCGTCTGCTTTCAAACCTCGGGCGATGCTATCGGCCACACCGGAATGTTCCGGCAAGGCGTGTCTGACAGGGGCAGCCCTCTGAGCACTCCCAGAGGAAGCAGATATGAAAGCCCGCTGGGCCCAGGGGCTGCTGTCTGCAAGGGTCCAGCTCTGGGCCACCCGCAGGCTGGCTGGGGTGGCGGTGGCGGTGGCACCGCGCGGGACCCCAGAGCAGGCTGCTGCGTGTGAGTCATCTGTCATTCCAAAGCCCGCGTCTGAGCTCGGCAGCCTCCAGGTCGCTCCCAGGTTCACGCATGGGAGAGAGTTCGCTCCCTGCTGGGCAGCCAGGCCCCCACGCCCAGCTCTCCAGCCGCTGGGTTCCTGCCTTTCCTCTCCTAACACACTGCCGCTCTCCCCGCTGCCCGCCACTTACTCTTCCCCGCCTGCTAAATACCGGTCGTTTGGGGAGCGTCTTTCTGTCTTCCTGAGGGAGCCAACCCACGCTACTGGTCCTGGAGCCTCTGACAGGCTTCTCTGGACTCTTTAGGAGGGGAAGGTTCTTCTGGCTATGAGCAAGGGAGTCGCGCTGAGCCCAGGCAGAAGGGAGCTTGGTGGGCAGCAGGTACATGCACAGGGAGCTGGAGAAAAAGGGACAGTCCAGGCCACTCCCTCTGCCTGTCTGTTTTGGGGTGTATCCGTGCCCCTGTGTCTCTTTCCTTATCTTCCTCACGCAAATACCCTCACATCTCCTTTCCACTGTGCTCTGGCGGCTTTTGCATCTCTCACTTGTGGGCCAGAATGACTGCCCCAGGCCCGGCCACGCCCCACTCTTCCCCAACAGGGTCTTGGGTTGGCCCAGCCCCGCGCTCTGAGCCGGGCAACACGGCACAGGCCTTCGGCCAGCCTAGGGACTGCTTGCCCTTGAAGGGGGTGCCTGTCTGGGACCAATCATTTGTAGGGACAAAGCACCATGGGAAACAGCAGAGAGCAAGAGGGCCAGCGGAAGGAGTTTGTTCCAGCCCAGCCCCCGAGAGTGCCCTGGAATGTTTTTGTTAGTTGCGTCCATGCTGGGTGAGGACGACATGAGTGAGAGGCTGCCCCTGCCATCCCCCGGCCCGAGGCCGTGCCTGTGTGTCGTCAGGGGCCTCCAGCAGATGTCCGCTCTAGGATTTAGCTGGAGGAGCTGTGTCGTCACCTGGCACCAGCAGGCTGGCCGGAGAAAGGTCCAGAAGGCCTTCTCCCGCAAGGGCTTCATTCAGCACCGATGCTGCCCTTCCTGAGAGCCCTGGTCACTGTTTAATGGACAGAAGTTGAGCGCCTTCCCCATGCCACATGCCCTGTGAGGCACTGAGGGCGCGGCCACTGCCCAGGCCCCGGCAGGCGAGGGGCGGAAAGCACAGGCCGGCGGTGACAGTGGATGGAACGTGGCCGTGCCCTGCTCACCACCCTGCGCCTGCCCCCTCGCCTGCCCCCAGCTGGACAAGCTCAGGACGATCATCGAGAGCATGCTGGCCTCCTCCTCCACACTGCTGACCATGAGCATGCCGCCTCAGAAGGCCCCGATCACCTTGGTGCCCGGCGAGATTGACCCCGAGGCCACCTGCCCGGCCTGCAGCCTGGACGTGAGCCATCAAGTCAGCACGCTGGTGCGGCGCTACGAGCAGCTCCAGAACATGGTCAACGGCCTGGCGGCCTCTCGGCCCTCCAAGAAGGCCAAGCTCCAGAGCCAGGTGACCCGCCGGCCGCCCTCCCGCTGCAGCTGCACGCGGCCCCTCGGGCAGGCCCGTAGGGTGGCTAAGGGTTGGTCTTTCATGGCGAACCCCTTTACTGACCTCACAGAGGTCCCTGGCCCTTCCTAGCATCACAGCAAGGAGCCCTGGGAATGGGGGTGGGGCGAGGGGTGCTATGGGCTGGGGAAGCGCAGCTGGCCCTTGACATGCCGCAGGGACATGCCGCAGGGACATGCCGCAGGGACGCTAGTGTAGCTTTGGGAAGCACTGACTCGCTCCACGCCTGGCTTCCAGACCTTTGCCCGGTGCCCCTCCAAAGCGGGGGCTTGCTGGTGGGGTTGGGACAGCCACAAGGCCCGAGCCCTGCCTCTTGGGTTCCAGGATTCTGACCCAGCCCAGGGCAGGCAGGCCAACCGGAGCCCCCATGCCGGCTCTCCGGGGCTGGAGGGCAGCTCGCTCCCAAACCTCGTTTGGTCACCTCTACCACCCGCCCAGACCCCGGCCGACCGGCTCCCCCGCGGCTGGTCCCTAGGCGGGAGGAGGCTGCAGCTCCTGTCCCTCTGGGTGGGCGCACAGAGAGAGCGAAGAGTCCCCCACCGGGGGCAGGATGCTGCAGAGGCGGCAAAGGGGAGCCAGCCTCGGTGTGCCAGGGGCCTGTCTGTCGGGCAACACTCTCGGGGCCGCCGGGTGGGCCCCCCGGCCTCAAGGAGCCTGCCCCGTCCCTCCCGCCCCAGGACGAGGAGCTGCTGGGCCACGTCCAGAGGGCCATCCTGCAGGTGCAGGGCGACTGCGAGAAGCTCAACATCACCACCAGCAACCTCATCGCGGACCATCAGCAGAAGCAGAAGGACATTGAGGTGCGTGGCCAGGGGCAGCCGGGGTAGGGGGTGTGGCGAGCCCCCGGCTGCTCCACCCTCTGGTTCCTTGCTCCCTATTCTCCGCATCCTTGGCCTGCAGGCGCTGTACCAGGGTCTGCAGAAGCTCGAGCGGGAAAAAGCCAACAGGGAGCACCTGGAGATGGAGATTGACGTGGTAAGCGACAGGCTGGGGGGCCCTGTGTCCCTGGGAGGAAGGCCAGGAGTGGAGGGGACCCCGCGGGGGGATGTGGGCTCAGCGTCAGGGCTGACCCCTCCCTGATAGAAGGGAACCCTCCGTGGCTCTCTTCTATCGGGTGGCCTCCTCCTCTCTCCGGGCAGAAAGCCGACAAGAGCGCCCTGGCTGCCAAAGTGAGCCGTGTCCAGTTTGACGCCACCACAGAGCAGCTGAATCACATGATGCAGGAGCTGGTGGCCAAGATGAGCGGGCAGGAGCAGGACTGGCAGAAGGTGCTGGACCGGCTCCTGACGGAGATGGACAGCAAGGTGAGAGGAGGCAGCAGGACACTCTGGGCCGATCAGGGCGGCGCTGCCTTCTCCTGGCCCTGCCCGCCCCCACCGGCTCCCCTGGCGCTCACCTGGTTCCCCCATACCCCGCCCCTCCCCCCGCAGCTGGACCGCCTGGAGCTGGACCCTGTGAAGCAGTCGCTAGAGGACCGGTGGAAATCCTTGCGACAGCAGCTCAAAGAGCGCCCCCCACTCTACCAGGCTGACGAGGCAGCATGCATGCGGAGGTGAGGCCGGAGACGCAGACGCGAGGCCGGCGCCGCCCCGCAGGGTCCCTAGCTGTACGGCCCCCAGGGCCCACGCGTGCGCTGGGGGCATGGCCGGTCCTGCCGGGGACGGCCCCCCAGTAGAAGCAACAGTGTTTTAGGGTTCAGGCCACTTCATATTACAGTGAAAAATAGAGTGGGAGTCCCCCATCTCCTGTCCCCCGAGCTGAGACCACTCCTTGGGGCCTGGCCGAGGCAGCCTGAGCAGCAGGATTTCCACTGCTGACCCCCAGAGGGCGCCCGCGGTGCACGCAGCGCATCCCCCCCGGGACGGGCGGGGTAGGCAGCCCAGCTGCCGGCCTGGGTGCCCGTCGGTGAGATCCAGGGGAGCAGGAACGGGGCGGGCTCCCCATCCCTCCCGCCCCAGGCCCTCACCCTCCGTGTGTCCCATTCTGCACAGGCAGCTCTTGGCGCATTTCCACTGCCTGTCGTGTGACCGTCCCTTGGACACACCTGTGACCGGACAGTGAGTGCCCACACCGGGCTGACCCAGCTGGATGGCCACAGTGGGGTGGGCGTGGCGGGGCTGCACCTCCTCCGTCCTGTGCCCGCTGCCAGCACGCGCCCTCTCCTTCTGTCCTCCCGCACGGCTCCAGGCCTGTCTGCCGGGACAGCGGCCCACCCCTCGCTCCTTCAGGCAGGCGGCACGTGGGGCGCGGGGGTGGCTTTGGACAGTGGGGCTTCTCACACCCCGGCCCCCGCTCCTCTCTGTCCCTGCCTAGACTGATCCCCGTGACCCCCGTGGGGCCCAGCCTGCCGGGGAACCGCTCCACCCGCCCCTACACCATCTTTGAACTGGAGCAGGTCCGGCAGCAGAGCCGCAGGTAGGTGGCAGGGTCCCGCGCAGGGGTTTGCGGGAGGCAGGACAGACAGGCGATGCAGGGCCCTCCTCACCGCTGGGGCACTTCTGAGCTGCAGCAGCTCTTTCTAGGGCGTCGGAAAACAAGAGGCGGGACCAGGATCACCTGCTGTCAGCCCCGTGGGGAGTCCTGGTGGGACCTGGCCAAGGGGGCCGGCCGCCGTCCCTCCTCACACCCCCAGACCCTCCAGCTGTGGCAGTAGCCCTCGCGTGGGACGGCAGGGCAGCGTCGCTCAGCGAGAAGGCCACTCCGCAAATGTGGGGACAGGGCAGGCTGCCCGCCCCCCTGCAGCCTTTCCACCTCTTGAGGGTCAGTGGAAAGGAAAGGAGGGCTTTCACACGGCGCTCAGGAACCTAGGGGTTCCAAGTGTGCGGGACTGGACATGCGGGGACGGGGCAGGACCCGCCGACCGCCCCAGGTTAGCTGGAGGAGCTGGGCTCCCCTCTGCGCGGCTCTTCTGCACCTCCCGCCTCAGGACCCCTCCCTGGCAAGCCTGCTCTCGTTGCCTTGGGGACTGCGGAACGATCTCCTGCCGCCCTGGGGCCACTGAACCGGGGGCAGGCGTGGGTGTGGGCGGGCCGGGGTTCTGCCTGCACACGGGCTGCGGCCTGTGCAGCTACCTCACCCTGCTTCCTGTGTCCGCAGCCTCAAGCTGGGCAGCGCCACCTTCTCGCGGGCTGACCTGGCACCCATGGAGCGGAGCGTGGGGCGTCTGCACACCATGCACTCCAAGATGCTGATGGACATCGAGAAGGTGCAGATCCACTTTGGGGGCTCAGTCAAGGCCAGCAGCCAGATGATCCGCGAGCTGCTGCAGGCCCAGTGCCTCAGCTCCCCCTGCTACAAACGGTAGGGCGGTAGGGTGCCCTGGCCATGGCGGCTCCTCACCCCGCGGCTCGGGGAAGCCCAGGGGAGGGAGGGAGCAGGGGAGGGGTGTGTGTGTACATGCGTGCATGGTCTTCAGGAGAGCCGGCCAGAGGCTGACCTGTCCCTTGCCTGCCTGTTCTGTCCCTTGCTTGCCTGCCTGTTCTGTCCCTTGCTTGCCTGCCTGTTCTGTCCCTTGCTCCTGCCCTGGCTCCCAGAGACCCCTGAGGATGGCTGTCCTACCTCCCTTGGGCCTGGCTGGTCCCATAGGTGTCCCATAAGTGTCCCATCGGCATCTCATCTGTTCCCAGTAACTCTGTGGTCTCCATCACAGGGTGCCAGATATGGCTGACTACACCTACTCAACGGCGCCCCGGCCCTGCGGGGGCAGCCACACACTCACCTACCCCTACCGCCGCGTCCGCCTGCAGCACCTGCCGCAGGGCCTGCACCCTGAAGAGATCCAGCTCGCCCTGAAGGTCTGGGCGCTGCCGGGAGGGGGCCCTGACATGACCCAGGTTCTCGAGTCCTCTGGAAAGTCCACCAGGGGTGGCCTCATCCCGCCCTCTGCCTGGAGGCAGTTTCTTAATCAGTCCTAGTTAAAGCCCCAGTTCTGACTCTGCTGGGGACAGGACCGCCCCACCTCCACCTGCCACCAGTGCTACAGACCTATAGCCTCCACTTCCCCCTCCTGTCACCCTATTGCCGCTCCCTGGTGCCCCTCAGAGCCCCCGGGGTGCCGGGACCGGGTGAGGACCGTGCCCCGTGTGCCAGGCCTGCGTGGGGACAGGGGCAGAGGGGAAGCTCCGGGCGCTGCGTGGTGATGGGTGCCTGTCACCTCTACAGCACGACGAGGTGGATATCTTGGGCCTAGATGGACATATTTACAAGGGACGGATGGACACAAGGCTGCCCGGCATCCCGAGCAAAGACAGTGAGTGTCCGGTGGCCCAACCGCCCCTCAGGCTCCCTGCTCGGGTCCCATGGGACCCGCCCCGCCCCGCTCCCGGGAGGCCGCGCGCTCTCTGGGGCCGCAGGACCCGGCTGTCTTCTCTCCTGCCTCCCTGCGTGCAGACGTTCAGGCTTCCAAAGGCCCCAGGCCACTGATGGCAGGTGGCCACAAGCAGTCTCCTCCTGAGGCTGGCTGTGCCCAGCAGCCCCCCCCCCACCCCCACGGGCCCTCACAGGGCTCTCAGGCGCTGCCTCAGGGTGGCCCCTTCTCTCCACCGCCCCCGTCAGGCTCCGGGGTCATCAAGCACAAGGCCAAGCCGCCCCGGCCCCACGTGCACCGGCAGCCGTCCCTCAGCGACAGCGGCCGGCTGCCCTCGCGGCCGCAGAGCGCCGAGACGCTGGCCGGCAACACCCCAGGTAGTGTCCCCCTGCACGGGCGCCCTTCCGGAGGCCTCGGGCCTGCCAGTCCCCTTTCCTGCCCAAGGCTGGTGCGTCCCTTTGTCTCCCTGGGCGGGGGGCGGGTGATGGGGAGGAGGAGCGAGAAGCCCCACCGCTACTGCGTGCTGGACGTGTCCCAGGTCCGAGGGGTGGGTGCTACCATGCGATGTCCCCATCTCACAGGAGAAACAGCGGCAGGGTCGCAGCCCGAGACTCCAGCTGCGGGCCCGACCCTGGCCCTGCGCATGCGTGCTCCCGGGCTCTGCACGGCCGCTGCTGCTCTGGCTGGCCCTGTCTGTGGAGCCCTCAAGTCTGGAAGGTCCCTATACTCTCTGCTGTCCCTGAGGGGCTAAGTCCTGCCTGAAAGTTGGAGGGCTGAGGGCCCCCCAGGGTTGGGCCACATACTTGGGGGCCAGAAAGCAACACTGGCCTGGAGCCAGGAAGCCAGGTCACTTCCAAGCACCTCTAAGCAAGGCCACCCCCGCCCCTGCCCCACACCTCATCTGTCAGTAAAAGGGGTGGTGGTGAATGCTCCTTCGGGTCAGGTCCCCCGTGAGAATCTATGGAAAGAAGGCGCTGGCCTCATGGCTGCAAAAAGCTACGGGCCCACAACACCTTGCAGACGCTTGGAGGAGGGCCCAGGACCCCGCCTGTGACGGGGACACTGCTGGAAGGGGGATGGCTGGTGACAGTGAGGGTCACCCGGCTGGCCCTTCCTGAGGGCTCCGGCCCGCGGGGCCGGCCCCAGAGAGGAGCTTCACACACACATTTCGGTCCTCACGCCGACGTGGGGAGGGAGGGAGCCCTGTGAGCCCCCCTCCCAGCTGAGGAAGCCTGGCAGGTTAAAGGACCCGGCTAAGGTTACCCAGGGAGGGAGCTGCAGGGCTGGAGTTCAAAGCCAGGCTGCGTGGCCCCAGGTAAGGGACAGGGAGAGCAGAGCCCGTGGTGGACAGAGCGGGGTGCCGGGCTCCTTCCGCCCCGCTGCCTGCACCGGGCACCTGCAGCGCCCTGGGAGCAGGGGAGGCTCCTCTCAGGGAGCAACCCCTGCGCTCAGCTCACCTGTGGGACTGTTGCCTAAACAGACCCTGTGTTAACAGGAAACACGGCCAAGGGGCAGGCTCTTGGCCCCCACGTGGGCTTGTTTATTTCCACTCAGCGACTGTAAAGGAGCTTTGCTTAGGAGCTCTGTGAGGACAGCACCCCCAGGCGCGCAGCAGGCTCCCTCCCGCATGTGTCCCGGGCTCTGGCTGGCACGTGCAGCCCGTGGGTGTGCGGCGTGAGGCAGAGCCATCCCCGCACCTCCTGTCTTGCAGCAACTTCTCGTCCGCGGACAGAGAGACCTGTCTCCTCGCAGGGCCGCCTCTCCCAGCCACTCAGCCCCAGCGAGGTGCCCGCGGGGCCCGAGATGCACATGGACGTGCCTCCGGGGGAGGGGCTGGAGGAGCCCACCCGGGGGCCCAGGTCCTCCACTGCTCACTGAGCAGAGCTCTGAATAAATGTTGAGGAAGCAGCTCGGGCGGAGGTGAGGCTTCTCTGGTCCCGGCTCAGGAAGGTGGAGCAAAGGGAGGGCCCCTCCAAACCGATGGAAAGCTGTTATCCGAGGGAGCTGGGGCTCCCGGGGGGCCTGCCCTCGCAGCTGTGGCGCCTCCTGGCCCCAGCCAGACAGGGGCTGCTGCCTCCCCCGGCTACGGCCCTGCTTTCCTCTCGCTGGCCGCCCCGTGTCTGAGCATGCTGCGCCGTGGGGCAGAGGGGAGGGTGGTGGCTGCCCGCTGCTCTCCTGCTGCTGGCCCAGGGCAGTGCCCACTCCGCACTCAGAGCCCAGGGGAGCACCGCCACCAGCCACCTGGGAAGGCCTGTTTGGGGCCCCCTGCCGCTAACTCTGCAGAGGCGGGAGGGGACTGGGCCGCTTCCCTGCTCCCTCCTCCTCCTCCGCCCGGCCCTGTGAGAGAGACAGGTGTGGGGCCCCCCTGGCCCGGCCTGGCCAGCTCCAGCCCGGGCAGCTCCAATTGCTTCTCCGCTGGCCCCCAACACGCAGAGGGCTCACTGCCGAGTCATCGTGCTCGAGGCCTCGGCAGGCTGGAGGGGACAGAGGACCGGGAGCGTGGTCAGGCTCAGGCGGGGCAGCAGCTGGAAGGGACAAGTCCCTGCCCTGAGGCCTGTGAAGTCACTGAAGCAGCCCTGTGCCTTCAGGTCTGTTCTCACCGGCTCCCTCCTCAAAGGTGGGGATGTCCCCACCCCCAGTTCCCACCCACCCCGCCATGGGAAAGCAACATCTGGGGCAAGAGCCTTGCTTTGGGGTGTGAGGGTGGGGGCGGCAGAATCAGAGGAAAGTGTGGCAGGAAGTGCCCAGAGGAGGCTTCTCCCCAGTCCCTCCCGTGTGGGCCACGGGGGTGGGGGGGCTGCTGCAGGTGCTCCCTGCAGAGGCACGTCCCCCTTCCTTCCCGGGGCCAAGCCCCGTCCACTGCTTAAGCAATGACGGAACCCTCAGCCCAAGTGGCAGGAGGGAGCGGCCCCACACGGGAGCCCTTGCCTCGCTGGGGCAGGGCCGGCGCCAGCCCCGCTGCTCCCGCCAGGCTCCTGTTTCCCTTGCCCTCTGAGAAATGTCAAAATCCCTGGCCAGGAATCCAAGCTCACCAGCTGGGCAGGGAAGGGTGGCTGTGGGGACAGGCCAGGCCTCCCTCACACCCACAGAAGGGCGCGGAGCGACAGTCCCCACGAGGCCCAGGACAACCAACCCCACACCGGGGCTCGCCACTGGCCCTCCCCCGGCAGTGCCCACCGTGGGGGTGGACCCAGCCCAAGTCCCAGGCGGCACCGCAGGCCCAGGGGCGGCCCCTCCCAGCCTGGGAAAGCACAGGTGGGCAGGGGCGAGGCTGGGAGGGGCCTCAGGGGTTTCCAACCAGGAAACAAAACTGAAAGGACAAACCCAGCCTTCAAGGCAAGATCACAAGCAGGGGCTGGGGGCAGCCCCGCAGGGCGGGCTGCCTGCCTTGCTCGGCAGGGTCCTTCTCAAGTGTCACTTCACTTTGGGCCTGAGCCTGTGGTCCCATCGTGGGGCCAGGGACTCAGGGAGGAATTCCCGGGGCCAGGCTCCTCCTCGCCCACCTGACCTGGCTGCCCTGCAGGAGCTGAGACAGGGCCCTGCTGGGCGGGGAGCTGCCTCCTGCCCGCCTGGTGCCTGGAGGCTGGGGGAAGGCGGACTGAGTCCCTCTGAAGCCCGCCCTGTCTCTGGGGCTCCCTGACCGCCTTGGTTGACCTCTGGGTCACGGCCACACAACGTGCACACAGGGTCAGGCTACCCTGGAGGAAGCCGGCCAAGGGCAGGGATAGCAGAGGTGGGCCCAGCTGGAAGCGGCTTGGGGTGCCCTCAGCAACCCCCGCCCCAAGACAATGGCTGCAAGACGAGCCTAGCCTGTGATGAGCAACAAAGGGAGGTGAAGGAGGGTCACAGGGCCCAAGTCAGGGCCCAAGTCAGGACCCGTCGTTCCTCTCCCCACACCCGACTGAACCAACCTGTCCCATCGATGACCCCCGGGTCTGGACACCCAGACCAGCTACGTGGCCAGGGGCCCCTCCTGCAGCCGCCGCGGCCCAGAGCCCCACTGCTCCTCCTCCCAAGGACAGCGTGCTCCCTCCTAAGGCAAATAAAGGCACCGCAAACCAGGGAAGTTAGAAAAGTCTCTTTTTAAAATTAAAACGTCTCCCTGGTGAAATGATTGATTTAGGAAGTAGGTCCAAAGGCAAGCTCTCCACTCAGCCAGATGGGGGGGGGAGAGGCAGAGCCCGGGCCTTTGCCCCTTGCTGGCTCTTCCGTCCCAGCAGCCAGCAAGGGGTGGGGACGTCCTGCGATGGCAGAGGCCCCAGACCTTTGGCCCGCAGGCGTCTGCAGAGGCCACTCCAGTAGCCACTGCCAGCTGGTGGCCCTCTTTTCCCCATTCTGGAAGGTGTGACCTTTGAAAGGAGGCAGCTGGCAGGCACCTTGTGCCTGCAACATGGTGCCACCTGGCAAGGCGGCACCTGCCCTGGGACCAGGGCGGAGGAAGGGGTGCTGACCACAGGGGAGGGTCTTCTGACCCTTCCCTCTGACCCCAGGCCGGCCAGCCCCATTCACATACATTAGTTACATTTATATATTATCGTTATATATTAAAAACAGAAAAAACTTGCCTGAAGAGAAATTCCTGAAGGGCCCAAGTGGCTCAGGAAGTCTACTACCCCCCGCCCCCCCAAATTCCTTTATAAAATCTTCCAGTGCGATCTTCAGGAAACCCCCGCCCGCCCCGGCCCCCCGACCCCGGCCCTCCTCTGTCCCCACGACCCCCGACGGCCCAGCGCACGGCGGCGTCCAGTCTCATCTCTGGCCGTCCGCGGCAGCCATGGCCTTCTGCTGCGCGCCCCCCTGCTGTGCTCCGGGGGGCCACGCGGGCTGTGGGCGGTGGAGGTGGTGGAAGCTGTGGGCCGTTGGGGAGGAGGGCGGCATCCAGGCAGCCTGGTGGCTGGGAGGGGACGAGGCCCAGAAAGGGCTGAAGTTTGCGGGGGGGGAGCAGGCCACGGCCGTCATGGGGCTGTTGCCGGTCTGCAGGCCCTCGGAGGTGCGAAGCTTGGAGAACATGGCCAGGGCGTCGGGGAAGTTGGGCGGCGTGGCCGGCGTGTTGCTGGGGGTGCACATCTGCTCGGAGAGAACACAGGCGTCGGAAGGGCTGTGTCCCCGGGCCCCCCGATCCCGAGCCATACTCCGCGGTCCCAGGGAGCCTCCGTGGGGCTCGCCCAGGCCGGCCCCTCCTTCCTTCCCACCGGCCAGTCCACAGCAGCCTCAACAGGGCAAAAGCACCCTCTCGCCCTGAGCCAGTAAGAACGAAAAATAAAGATGAACCCAACAATTTTTATCCAAACCAAGAGTGTTTCGGGACGCTCAGGAATGACACCCTGAGGAGGGTCAGGAGATGGCCAACGCCGAGCAGAGGCGGGGCGTCCGATCCAAGTGAGCATGACGGGGCAGCACGGGACCTCGGCGACCTGGCCTGAGCCATTCTGAGGCCGTTGGTCAAGGGGGGGGGCGGCGGTGGCCAGGCCCAGAGTCTGTCTCCCGAGCCAGCCTCGGAGAAGCCACTTTCTCAGCGTTGGCTTCGTTCCATGAGAACCAACCAGCCAGCAAACATCTCACTGCCCACAGCGGTGCTCGGTCCTTTCCATTCTCCCTGGGTGCAGACAGGAAACTGGGGCCCAGAGCTCAAGTCACGTGACCAAACATACACCCCTGCAGGGAACCGGTGAGGAAGAGGGTCCACAGGCCCAGGCTCTTCGCCTCTCCTCAGCCCCGCCCCCTCACACACGCACGCACAGTCAAGTACTTGACGCGGGGCTCCCTGGGGACAAACAAGGGACTTCAGTTTCCCGTGTCCTCAGCATTCCCCATGCTGCTCTTGGCCAGAAGCTGGCGAGTGTCTCTCCAGCTCTGCTCAGCCCACTTCCTGGGGGTAAGCGCAGATATCCCGTCATCCGCTGTCCTCTGCCATTACCCCAGGAGGGGGCTCCCCGAACTCTTCACTGTCCCCTGCCATTTCTGATCAGGGAACCTGAGCCAGGAATGCTGGTCCTTCCTGGAACTGGTCCTCTCTCTGTGAACGTTGGGGACTGTAGACCCGCGAACCCCGCAGTATAGGGGGTGGGGGCGCTGCACCAGGGGTGTGGGGGAGAGCCAGCCTAGAAGGCCAGCGTGGAGCCAGTTGGCTCAGACCTCCCCAAGCTTCTTCCCCCTCTCCCAGGAAGTCCATCTTTGAACTTCTAATTTTAGCAACACTGGCCCCTCCCCCAGGCACGGGTGTGGGAGCAAGATTCTAGGACAGTCACCTGTCGGAGCGGGAGCTTTCCCAGCTCTGCAGTTAAAGCCCAGCAGGAAAGGGGAACGGGGAGCACCCCACCCAGTCTGGCAGCTCCATCAGCAGCGAGGAAGCCCTGGCCATTGTCTTCCTCAGGGGCAGCCACAGGGCCTGCTGCAGGCCTGGCCTCACCCAGACCGTTTCCCTCCTCCCTGCAATACCCCCCACCCGCCGCTTGACTTCTCGGCAGCAGGAAACAGTGAATGGGGGTGGGGTGGGGGGGAGTAGAAGCCAATTGCATCACAGCATCGTGACCAACTTCCCCAGTTCACTGAGCCAGCCAGCGTGTGTACAGACTGTCTCCGGGAAGAGCATCCCTGTGCCTGCCTGCCTGAGTGAGCTCGGGCAGGTTCCCTCTCCTCTCTGGACCTGCAAAGCAGGGGCTCAGAGCAGACGCTTGGAAGACGGCGCCAGCTCTGGGCTTCTACCAGCTCTGGAGGGAGCTTTCCAGCTCCCCGCACACTGTGCCCACCGTGCCTGCCTGCGCCCTGCAGCTTCCAGTCCACGGGCCCTGCTCCCCCTCCCTACCCTCCCCACCCAACCCAGGAACCCCCTTATCTGAGGACATGCCTCCAACTGCGTGAATGTCCAGCAACCTACAGACAACCACTTATCAACTCCTCCTGCCGGGGTCACTTCTGAGACTGCCATCATGCCAGGGCTGTCTCTGCTGTTTCTATTTAACTGTTTCCTTTGATTTCCTGTCTCTAAAAAAGCAACCGACTCCTAGCAGGCAGGGTGCTCTCCACTCCGACCAGGCACTCGCTACGATACGATGGATCTACGGATCCTAACAGGCAACCCAACACCTGCCTCGAGGGAGGAAGCTTCGAAAGGATTTCAATACCTTGGGATTGCAGATAAGGAGCAACAGGACCTCCAGGGACCTCCAGTCCCGGCTCTGGCCCAGGAGCCTGGCTGTCACAGCGCCACAGAATGGCTGTGCTGGAAGTCACAGGCTCCTTCCAGTCACTACCCACCCCTAAGGCCAAGCAGTTGTCTGGGTTTTTTTTAAAACATTTTTAGACCAAAACTTTGTGCTCTGAAAATGTGAACCTACGTTAATGTACACTAAATATAACTGCAAGGGAAAAAATAAGACTTTCTTAGTCACTAATATCCTAAGCCCAGAGATTTTTTTCCCCTTAAATTGCCGGACCTCACCGAGTATTTCTTTCTACCGTCTTCTAGTAAAAAAAAAAAAAGTGTTATACAGGCCCTGGCTCTTGATCCAGCCGTCCCGGAACACAGACTAAGGCCCTTCTGAGAGGACATGGAGCAGGGCGCTCCCGGGCTCCGGAGCGGGCGCAGGGTACAGGGTGCGAGGCAGGGCCAGAGCGGCCCTGCAGTCAGGTGCAGGGCAGGGTCTCCTCCAAACGGTCCCCTCGGGGTCCTAAGAGCCCGGCCCCAGCAGCCACGGCCGCAACCGGCACAATTCTCCCATCATATTCCAATGGCATTTTTGTTTTTTGATGGGTATACAGCATGAGCCATTCCAAGAAAAAGCTGGTAAAAAGGTCAAGACAGACCCTTCTCTATTTGTCCTCTGCAACCAGATGAAACCAGGGCACCAAGGACAAGACACAGCAGAGGAACCGCCTGCAGCTCCTCCGGGCAGGGCAGCAGCTCTGGAAAGGGAGCCGTGGGCAGGAGCGCCTGCGTCAGGAAAGTGGGAAGCGCCCCCCAGACGCCACACCAGCTCTCCTGGGAATAAAGGGTTACAACCCCTGGGCCGGGGACAGTCCCTTCTCCCCAGGCAGGGCTAATAGGTAACTAGGGGGGTGGGGAGGACAGCATTCCAGCCTCCAAAGCAGAAGGGACAGCCTGGGCCGGGCAAAGCAGGATACCCCACAGCAAGGTGGGTAAAGGCTCAGGCCTGGGGGCCAGCTGGGAAATGAGAAGAGAGCAAATCCAGGCCCAAACCACTTCTGTTTCCTGCACTTCTGTATGTTCACACACTGAGATTAAAAGCAAATGCTTGGCATTTTCTTGTCAAAATCTGTATGTCCTCCATGCTCAGGGTACGTCCTTTTTCCATAAACAGGAAAGAGAGAACATACCTCTGTGGGAAGAGCCCAGCTCCCAGCCGGGGTGGATTTATCCCTTTCCTGTTCCCTGTACAGCTGAGTTGTCGGGGTCGGGGGCTGCCAGTCCAACAGCAAGAGGAGCCTCCCCGTAAACAGACGCCCCAGGTCGCAGCCCCTCAGGGGCCTCTCTTCACTGGACCCCCAGGTCCCCAGACGTGTACTTCTCATTCGAGCCCCCTCCCCACTCCCTGCCACCCTCGCCTCCCTCCTACCCCTCGCCATGGGGAGGGCCCCGGGCACATGACTTTAGGTCGAGACTCAGCAGCCCAGGAGGCCGGACCACAAAGTTGGGCGAGCCAGCCGGCCGGGAGCCGCTCTTTCCTGGAAGACATTTTGGCTCTTTGTTTACATCGCGGCGCGGCGCTCCCCGGCAACATGGCTGTCACCGCCGGCGGCTGACAGCGGCCCCCGGCCCCGCGGCCTCGGCCCCCGGGGGCTGCGGCCCGGGGCGAGGCCCGCCCTCCCGCCGGTACCGGCCGTACTTACCATCTGGTGGTGGTGGTGGCTGTTGGGAATGTTGGTTTCTTGGAAAAACGTGCTCAGGGCGGTCTGCGGACAAACACAGCGGCGGAGAGGCGGTTAACCGGAGCGGAGCAGGAAGCCCATGGGCCTGCCTCCTCGCCTCGGCAGGGTCCGCGGCGCCGCGCTCAGGCCGCCGGGCTCGACCCCTCAGGCATCCCCGGGCCGCCCGCAGGGGTACCGGGCGGCGGGGCCCTCCGCGCCGCCCCCGGACCCTGCGCCCCCACCTTGCGGCCGCGGATCGCCTTACGGGCGATATAAATAGAGCTCCCCCCGCCGCGCGCGTCGCGGCCCGCGCCCCCGCCCCGGGAAAAGGGACCGGCCGCCGCGCTCGCTCCGGCCCGCTCGCACCTCGAACTGCCAGTGGGCCGCTTGCAGCAGCTGCTTCGCCTGATCGGCCGCACAGCCCGCGGCCAGCACGAACTGGTTGATCATGACCTGGTGCCGCAGCTCATCCGTGTTCACCGACATGGCTCCGGCCGGCACGCAATCCGGCTCGGCGGCCGCGGGAGGCCGGCCGCCCTCGGCTCGCGCTCGCCGCCGCCCGCGGCCTCCGGACCCTTGCCGCCCCGCAGCCCGCCCGGCTAGTGTTGTGGTCCGGCTCCCGCGGCCGCCGACACACAAACAACAGTGCGGGGCGGGGCTGTGTCCCAACGTTCGGGGGCCGCGAGCCGCCGCCGCTGATTGGCCCGCGCCGCTCGGCCTGCTCCCGGCTCGGAGCGGACGTTCGGTTCGAATCCTGCGGCCTGAGGACCCGCACTGTTTCTCTTTTTGCCCGGCCGCGCCCATTGGCGGAGGTCGGCGCCTTGGGGCGCCGCGGCATTGGCCGGCTGCTGTGTTTTGACTCGTTCAGGCTCGTGGTTGGCCACAGCCGGGAGTTTGGGGCGGAGCCGCGCGCGCTGATTGGTCTCCCATGGGCCTGTTTGAACTCAACTTGAAAACCTTGAGTGCCTGCTGATTGGCCCAGGCCCCTCTGTTTGGTGTTGTAGGCTTGGGGGTGGTGCGGCCAAGTTCATTCATTACTTCATTGAAACTGAACATGCTCAGCTGGAAAAGCAAGACAGAGTGGCTTTGACTCATTTCCTCTGAAAGATGTGGTCATCTCGAGAAACAGAAAGATCAAAATAGAAAGCAGATAGAGCTTTTGCAGCTGCTCAAGTCCCAAGATTGTTTATTTTTTTAAATCATTCAAGCAGCTCCACTCTTTTTTAGCCTTTTATTGAAATATAACGGACCCCTTTCATGCCTCCTTCCCGTCACTACCCACCCCAGAGGCCAAGCAGGGGTGTTTTTTTTTTTCTTGTTTTGTTTTGTTTTTTACGTTTTTAGATCAAAACTTTTGCGCTCTGAAAATGTGAACCAATGTTAATGTACACTAAATATAATTGCAAGGGGAAAAAAATAAGACTTTCTTAGTTATTAATATCCTAAACCCAGAATCTTTTTTTTTCTTAAATTGATTGACCTAACCAAATATTTAATGTGTACCATCTTAAAAAAAAGAGAGAGAGAGAGAGAGAGTGTGTAATACACACACTGGCTCTCAGTCCTAGCCATTTGAAAACAAAGCTTGTTTATAGTGTCGCACCTTCTAGATTAGGATTTCACCTCTAGAGCTGTGTTTGGGAACTGTGGGGGTGGATAAGAACTAGGAGTTTAAGCAGACTGAGGAAGGAGCAGGGAGTTGTGGAAGTGGTAATTTTAAGGATTGAGTGTTAGAATATCTCTTTGTGAAAAACTTACTAAGATTTGGATCTGAAATGCCAATCCCAAAGGATATTCTGAAGCTTAGAAGAAAGCCAGCCAAGACTCCATTTTGAGTTTGTCTAAAGTGGATTCAACTCTCCATCGAAGAAAACTTGACCATATAAAAAACAGAATATAAATAGGGAAGAAATTACACCCAATGTTTATTACTGATGAAAAACAGCCTCAGACACTATCACGAGTTTATCGCATTGAGCTAGTCTTTTGTTTGTTTGTTTTAAAGGGGTGGGAGTCAGCCTTTTGCCTGCTGAGTCCCGGTTCTCTGGCTGTAATTAGACGTGGCCACCCCGTAGTGTGCACAGGGGACGCCTGGAGTGTGGCTGGGGAGCCCAGCACAGCTCGTGCTCCCCCCTCCCAGTACTGCAGGGTGAAAACAAAAGTAAACAGCCAGCAGCTTGTATTGCCAGGGCGCTCAGGCCCTCTGCAGCCCCAGAACAAGGAAGCACTGTCACTGTGGGAGTTCAGCTTTCACAAGTGCGTACAGGTGTCAAACATGCCAGGGCCATGAGGACTAGGATCTACCTGGGCAGAGCGTGGCATCTCAGGCAGCAGGCGCCCTTAGGTCTTAAGTAAGACGTTCTCCAGGAAGCCTGGGGTCTTGAAAATGCCCAAAGCCCCAGACCTGTTGTCTTTCCTGAAGATTTATTTAATGTTTACCATTTGCAGGGCTCAGCTCTGGGCACCTGGGAGAAGCATGGAAGACAAGACCCCCAAGCCAGAGAGACCCGGGTTGTGGTTATCTTCTGTGGACAGAGGCCACTCCGGGCTGAGTGAGTCCCCTTCTCAGGCGGGGTAAGGTAGGCGTGCCCCCCTCCTGGGAGCGCAGGGAGAATGAATGAGGTCATGTTTGCAGAGGGCTTTGAGCTGCGGGGATGAAAGCAACTCCCCAAGTGCAAGGTATTATTAGCTAAAGGTGTTATTATTTTAATCTGTGAGGACAATGTGCAGCAATAAAAACATGTCCATTAACAACAAATTAAACACAGTAGTGGCTTCCGAAGGAACAAAATCCTCCTCACATCAGAGGGCTCGGCTGCAGAAGGAGCCATGATGCCACAGCTGAGGCGAGAAACAGTCTTAGCCAGTGTTTCCTTGGAGTTGGATAACAAGGATGTCTTAGATGGAAGTCGCTGAGCTGCTGCTGAGACCGGCAACAGTAACTGAACCCTAGCAAACAGCTGCCACTTACCAAGCACTTCCCGTGAGCCATGCGCCGAACAGTTTAATATCAATCAACTCATTTCAGTCCTCACAACAACCTCGGGGGCCACCCCACAAGCGAGGCGGTTAAGGCACAGAGGACAGGAGGAGCTTACTACCCAAGGTCATCCTAGAAGGTGGTGGAGTCAGGCGCTGGTCCAGGCTAGTTCCAGAACCTCGTGGTTAACCATTACCCCACACTACCGTCCTTAATGCTGCATCTGTCGCCTCAGTGGGGCTCACATGGGGGCCCTCGACAAACAAGCTCTGTCAAGGGCACTGAGATGATTTCTACCGGGGAGGCCTGAAAATGCGTGCGCCTCCGTGGGGCACAGGGGCACCAGCTGCCTTGAGCGATCACGGAGGAGGCTGGAAAACGGATTCATTCCAACCTCCTCTCTGCAGTGCATTCGAGTCCTCTTGCTTTTGTCCTCCTTTCTATGTCTTACTTCCCTAACCCGAAAGGACCCGCCAAAGCTGAGGGGAGGTAGAGGGCGGGCTCCCCGTGAAGCTTTGTATACCTCTGCGCAGCATTTCTGACTTGGAACTCCCGATTGACTCGAGGCTCAGAGAGAGCAAGAAAGCTACCCAAGGTCGTACAGCCTGCCTAATTTACGGTAGCCATGGGTCGGGCTAGATCGGGTTTGACTGATTCAAGAGCTCATTGCCTTTCTCCCCTCCCGTGAATTCTTATTTTTAGTTTCCCTCTTGTTGCTTTAGGATGCCAAGACAAAGGGGCAATGGGGTTGGGAGAAGCAGAAAGATATTAAGAGAACAAGAGGATGATGGGAAAGGACGCAAGTGCCCACACAAGGTAAACGAAGTGAAGCAGCGCCCAGCCCGCTGGGCAGCACTCCCTGAAGGGCAGCCTAGGAGGTGGCGGCCCGGGCTCTGAGCGTGGGACAGCTCCCCTGTAGCAGGGACTTCAAAAGCTGTTGCTGGCTGGGTTTGTTTAGTGCGACTGAAATTTGTTATTGTTACTTTTCATTGCAGATTGATGCCGTTTCTCCTAGACGGTGGGTTAGGTAGACCTGCCACTTTCGAAGCCTTCCTTTTTTCCTAGTCTTTCTCCTTAAGGCAGAGTGCTTCCTCTACTCCAGGCAAACTCCCGCCATCCTCTGCGACATCCGAGATGTACGTCTATTGAGGATGGGCTATGACTCCAGCTCTGCTCAGCTCTGTATTTGGATTTACCTTAATTACTACAACAGGCCAGCCATGTGGGGACTGTGCGTCAACAAATGAGGAGGGCAGGGTCGGAGAGGTGAAGTGACTTGCTCCAAGTCACTCGGCTAGCTCGGGGTGCAGCTGGGATCTGAACCCACGTACGTGTGGTTTCCGCCAGGGCTGGCGCCCTCAAATATCACGTTCTGCTTTCCAGCCTTGCCTGCGTCCTGAGCCCAGCTTATTTTCTCCCTCAGGGACACTGAGAAGATATAAAAAGCTTGTCTGTGTCGTTCGAACTAGCAGGAAGTTCGGAGCCAGTCCCCAAGGGGATGAGTTTATGCGGGTTGATACCAGATTGCATTTTCACCAAATGTCATATATCTTGCGAGGGACAAAGGCCACACCACTCCCAATGTAGTTAATGGCATTTTCCAAAGCAGCATTGGTGGGCTGTACTCTCTGTCCTGTACCTGCCAGCCCGGTGATAAGGTGGCCTCGCCTCCGGTTGCCAGGCGTGTCCTGTGGTGGGTGAGTCCCCGGCAATCATTTCGAGGGGACACCAGAGGGTGGGTCTTTGCCAAGGGGAAGAGGCTGGCAGGGCAGAGCAACAGCTTTCCAAGGAGGGCCCTCCCTCCTTCTCCGGAGTCCGCGACTGCCAACTGGGACTCAGGTTCCCGGCCCCTTTCCCTCAGGGGACAGGAATTGATCGGCCTGGAGCCGGGCCTCTCTTCGCTCCATCTCGCGTCCTCCGCGCGGCAGGCTTGTTGCTGTGGCAGCTGCTGACCTCCAGGTTGGAGGCAGCCTTCCCACCTGGATGCCGTTTTTTTTTCCTTAGAAATAAATCATACACCAAGAGTTTATGTGTGTATAATCTATGCACAGTTTGAAAAATCACCCATGGACCCAACCTAGAATTTAAGAAGTCCAGAGCCAGTGCCTTTGAAAACCCTCACATGACCCTCCCCAAACACATATTCTTTCCTCCCCAGAAAAACTCATGATCTTAAATTTGCATTAATCATGTCCTCGGTTTTCTTTGTCATAGAATCCTGTCGGTGCGTATCTCCAAACAAGGGGGGGTGCGGGGGGCGGGTGATAGATTGATTCCACTGAGTAAGGGTGTCGCCTCGTGGCCGGGCTCAGTCTCTCTCTCCACGGACTCTGCGGTGCGAGCTCAGCAGAGCGCACTTACGAACGAGGACCACCGCGGCGAGGGCGGGCTCGCTCCTGTCCCGTGACCGCAGGCGGCAGCTCCCACCCAGTCAGCAGCCCCAGGTCACCAGGAGGCCGGCGCGGAGAACTGAAGCTGGGAAGGAACGGGGTAGGCAGAAGGAGAAGGAAGGGAATTTTGGAAGAAAGAACAATGGAAACCAGAGCACAGAGCTGCCTTAGAAGCAAGCGTAGGGCCAAGCGCCCTCAGGGCACCTGTGGGAGCCATGGCTGGGGGAGGGGCGAAGCTTGGAGAGTCAGGGCCGGAGTCGACCTGCTCTGGGCAGTGGGAAGGAGAGCGGTTAGTACTGTCGCCTTTATCCACAACCACCGCTGCCACAACAGCCACAAAC